GGCAGTACAGGGTTAATAATTAATTATGTATGTAAATAACTGTTATGGTTTTTTATGATTGTGTCTGTTCCCTTGAGTCATAACACATACTATAATGATACGATTGGTGGCTAAAAATACATACTGTGAGTGAAGAATCAATTTAGTATGGGTTTGAGTCTTGAAAATTAGGAACTTCCTCTTTATATAAAAAATTTATGCCTTTTTCAAAATGGCTGCCAGAGATGTAACAAAGATGATATCTTCACTTGTTATGCATGCTACAATAGTAAGATTGATGTTCAAGTATACATTAATGGGTGGTAGAATTCATTTGATAAGGTTTATAGTCTTTATTTCCCAACGAAGAAAGTTCAGTAGGGATGTAGTGAAGCCCTCCGTCAGTCAGTCTGTCAGAACATCATCTGTCTTATGTATGATTTTGCAATTTTTGTCAGATTCCTTCAAAGTATGGCCATATGTACTCAATTAAATTGAAGATGGTGTTAATTTTATGATTAATGCCTCAGAAAATTCAAAATGTCCCAGAGAAGGAGTTGATTAGCTATTACTTACTAGATATGTCGTCAAGGTATGGTTACATTATATTAAATTAGATCTCAATTTTTTTATTGTCTAAATATAATTTTTAGCGTTGACTAAATGGTCACCAAAATGTTTAAATCAGCGGAAATTCTGATATTGTACTGTATGTCTATTAGTTAACAAACATTTTCAGTTTTTATTGAAAATGTATGCCTTTTTTCAATGGCTATGGAAAATATTACAAAAATTATATCTAATAAGGGCTCTTATACATCTTCAAAAGTAGAATAGTTTGCATTTTGAAAGTGTAGTTTTAAATATCAATTTGCGATGATGGAAACTATGCTGAAAACAATGGATAGCATGGGAGATGTGGTATTCAACTTCAGTGCATATCAAATACCGTCCCCTTTTAAGTAATTGTTGATATAAAGTGAGGCAACTTTTGATATGTTTTAATTGAGAAAAACAAGATCATCTTTTTACAAAATAAGCTTAACATTTTAAAAAAGTGTCAAGGGATGGGATCCTAATCCATAATTTTCCAGAAAGTTGGATTCATATTCTACAATCATGGGGACTTCACTTGGAATAAAACACATTTTTTTAATAATGAACACTGTATTTATGGCCAGAAAGTACTCATGGTGAAAGACATATTGCCGTTTAAAATCTTTAATCTCTTAAATGTTCAAATGAGAAAATAAGAATATTTTTCTCAATATGACAATATTCAGTGCTGTATGTGTGTACATACATGTCTTTTTCAAAATGGTTGCCAATCAACAACAAGCTTAAAAGTTTGTTGGTTGGATTAGTGGAAGACTCGGTAAACAGAGACATCGTCCATGATTTGGTCAGAGGATATGAAGAGGGTTCTGCAATACTGTCATAATATGCAGCCCTTGAAATCTATTCCGATCTTCCAAGATTTTCTCTCGCCAGAAGGTTTCTGGCCCTTTCTAACTGTAGGTACATATGTATGTCTGTCCTGCGTGGTTTCTATCTATCACATTTCTCACATGTCATATCACATATCACATGTATGTTGTTACACTGGTCTTTCTGGTGAATTTGAGTAAAAAGAACATTGAAAGATAAATACACATTTGCTGTGTTAAGGCGAAAACGATTATAATCATCAACTTTAAAATTGAATTTTCTTCGAAAATGTGACATTTAGGTCAGGGAGATTCCCCATAGTCCCCATGTTGTAAAACACAAAAAGTGAAATATCTTTTCTTGTGTTGTGCAGATAATATTTTCTTTAACTGAAGATATTTTAGTTTGTACAACTATCAGATACAAAAGAGTGATATGGAATGTGAACCACTAAAAATTAAGAATATTCAAGTTTAAGGGAACTTTGTAATACCCTGCAATGTTATTTCACCCGAATTAACCACCTGGTGGGGAAAGTGGTAACTACCTACATGTACTTGCATCTGAGTAATTGAATAGATTTTACATTCCCAAAAAATGTAGATTTTGAAGCCAATTTTATGAAATATTTTGCCCAGAAGTAAAGAAACTTTTAGCAAAGATACAATTTTTGTTAGCAAAGATACAATTTTTGTTAGCAAAGGTACAATCTTTGTTAGCAAAGATACAATCTTTGTTATATTTTCAGCTGCATATATTTCCAATGCAAAGTGAAAACTATAATCTCACAAGACTTAATAAAATTGATTCTCATACCCCATAAATATAAAATCTTGACACCAATCGTATAAGTGTGGCAAGCACTGATGTGAAGATATCATCATTGTTATATTTCTGGTGGTCATTTTTAAAAACGCATACTTTCCTATAAAGTGAAAATTCTTATTTTGAAAGAACTATTTAAATGGATTCAACAACCCAATATTATGTATACTTTGACACCACTCTTATCATTGTAGCATGCTTAGAAGCGAAGATATCTTCTTTGTTATATTTCTGGCAGCCATTTTGAAAAATGCATATATTTTGAATATAAAGTGCAAGTGCTGAATTTACAAGATTCGAAACCTAATTAAATAGATTCTACAACTACATTAATATATTTTTGACACCACTCTTATAATTGTAGCATGCACAGAAGCAAAACTATTGTCTCTGATATATTTTTGGCGGCCATTTTGAAAAATGTGTATATTTCCAATATAAAGCGCCATCTAGCTTGTGTCTTTGGGTAAATTTGTTTCTATTGCCCTAAGGTATGTCAATGCCAAAGGGGACATTTTGTAAGGTAAAAAATCTTAATTTGTAAGTATTCGTAAGGCAAGATATCTTCTTTGTTATATTTCTGGCAGTCATTTTGAAAAACGCGTATATTTTGAATATAAAGTGGAAGTTTTTAATTTTCAAGACTCAAGATCTAATAAAATAGATTCTACGACTACATCGCTGTATTTTTTTACACCAATCTTATAATTGTAGCATGCACAGAATCAAAGATATTGTCTCTGATGAATTTTTGGCGGCCATTTTGAAAAATGTGTATATTTCCAATATGAAGCGCCATCTAGCTTGTGTCTTTGGATAAATTTATTTATATTGCCCTAAGGTACTTTCATGCCAAAGGGGACATTTGCATCATACAATGAAGTCCAAATGTAGTTAACCCATCTACTAGTCTGTATTTAAATGTAGTTGTAAGAATTACAATTTCATTTTAGTTGACATTGAAATGTTTTTATGTCACTACCACAAATGGTGACTACTGTTATAGTCTTTAATTTTTTGTGGAGGATGTTTGGCGGGTGGTGGTTAGTGTCTGTAACAAATGTTAGGTGATCCAGTGACATTTTGTATGTTAATGTTTTCAGTTATAGTGAGTTGACAATCCATATTAATTTTGGTGGAGTAGATATGGCATTGACATTGTTATGTTTTATGTTGCGTAGACATTGGCATGTTATTTGCAAGATTAGATGAACAGTTCTCAGTTTTGTGAATGAACATGGCATATTATGTTTTCAGTGGAAGTATACAATTGGTGGATTTACACTAGCGCGCTAAGACGTCTTAGCTAAAACGTTTTAGCGTTAAAACGTTTTACAAATGAAATGTAAATCTAAATTTACTCAAGAGCTCTCGGCTAAGAGCACTTAGCTAAAACGTTTTAGGACCCGAGTCATAGCCAAGACGTCTTAGCGTTTAAACGTTTTACAAGCGAGTGTAAACCCATCGGTTTTAGCTAAGAGCTCTTAGCCTGTTTTTTTTGCGTTGTGCCAAACGAAACATTTGAAACTTTCCATTTACATATGGACATGGTCCTTTATTTTGTCTTATCCCTTGTTCCCAATATCATCCAAAAATTATAGAGAAGAACTTATTTGCCTGGCGATTTATTATAATCCTAAGTTATGCATAAAATCTTCCTGCTCTCTTTCATGCTTTTAACAATGCTGTCCTCTAGGACATATTTTTCTGAAACCGGTGCATACTTTAGTACAAAGTCGGGTACAAAGTATAGAAGCGGGAAAGGAATAGCTTTATTGACTGAACCGTCCTTCAACCAGTACTAAACTGCTTTTTTCATTTTACATGCACATATGTATATCTACATCTCTAAGACGTTTTAGGAAAATAGGTGTAAACTCGATCTTATTTTCTAAGACATCTTGAAAATAGTAATGTAAACTCAACTTAATTTTTCTAAAACGTTTTAGCCAAAACATCTTGAAATGCTGCGCGTAGTGTAAATTGGGCTAATGTCATGTTTTCAATATCCCAGATGCGAGTAGAAATAATCTTGATTTACGTCATTAAAAATTCACAATTCAGTCAAACTGATGTCATATTTGGAATCTACATGTAAAATTACATTTATAAATGTGGTTTTGAAAAGAGTTTATCAACTTTGAAAATTTAATTTTCTTTGAAAATGTGACTTCTAGGTCGGGGAGATTCCCCATAGACCCCATGTTGTAAAACCACAAAAAGTGAAATATCTTTTCTTGTGTTGGGCAGATAATATTTTCTTTTACTGGACATATTTTAATTTGTATAACTATCAGATACATAAAGGTAATATGAAAAGTGAACCACTAAAACTGATGCATATTCAAGTTTAAGGGAATTTTGTAATACCCTGCCATGTTAATTCCCCCGAATCAGCCACCTGGTGGCGAAACTGGTAACTACCTACTCGCATCTGAGCAATTGAGCAGACATTACATTACATGATGTTTTTGGTTGAAAAACAGTGGCATGTGTTTGAAGTTGATTTAGACAATATATGAACAGTTACTGTATAGTTATTTGAATAGACATGTTTGTCATGTTTTTGTTGAGTAAATACAACATGCGGTGTTTTCATTTGAGTAGACACGATGCATTGTTTTCATTCGAGTAGACATTGTGCATTACATGTCAGTTGAGTGAATGGATGTCATGTTTTCAGTTGAGAGGATATTGTATAATACTGTATTGAAGGACACACTGCAAGCAAGCATATCCATGTGAACATGTGAATATTTTGTTCTCAGTTACTTTTGGCCGCCCAGTCCAAATAGCAAGAATGCCACCCGATGACTTGTACTACTTCAGCTACGACACATCTTCTTCAAAAGCAAAACTCAAACATGACTCAAACGTGGAATCCTGGATAATCCACTCTCCAGGTCTCAATAACAGAGATGGGACGATATCTATTGAATCATGGGAGAAACGTGGCTTCTTTTTACGTCGCCGCAGTGACACCGACGATGCAAAAGTATACTTGGAGAGCATTACAAATGGACCAAATTTTGAAACATTTTATGAAGATGCTACCTTTACACTGGTGCCAAATCCAGGTGGATATAAAAGCATTTATATAAGCTTTGAGGACTCAATGGGAAGACTCATGAGACATGGAGTAGGTAGTGGGAGACTTTTGAAGTTTAATCCCAGCAGTAAAGCTGACTTTGACATGAGAGCCAGTTACCAAATATTGAATGCAACAGGTAAGAAAATGTTGGTTAAGGTCAGGTTGCATGTTTGGAATTTTGCTGCAACCCCCAATAGGGTCACATGTCATTTTTCAAATTTGAATCACTCCTTCCCCACAATGTCTACATCTCTCACTTTTGCACAACGAGAGCTCTTGTGTACCTAGAAAAGAATGTAGAACAGAATGTTTTGATAAAATGTATAAAAAACAAGAAAATTCAGTAAAAATACTGTATTCAGAAAATTTTCAGAACATTTTTTTCTGAACATGCACCTTGGCCTTAAAACAGCATAATGGGAAATTCCTGGGGGAAAGAAGGAGGGAAATTAGCGCAACAGATTTTGGACAGTCATATTTTGGATTTTGGCCATTTTCTGAGGATTTAAACAATTGCATATGTTAGGCCAATGCATTACCTCCAGGAAAATCACTTCTAGAGATGATAAAATAATTTCTACTTTGAGACAGGGTAGATGCAAACAACCCACCCACATGTTTTTTCTGAAATGTTTTCCTAATTTTCGACCCCTTCCACCCCTGCTTTTTCAATTTTTCTTGCATCAATATGTTGCATTTTGACACATACAGGATGTCCGGAAAGTAAAGATACAAATGCTCTTATTTCAATAGATTTACCTGTTGTGAGATGAAATTGCTACAGATTGTAGAATGACATTTTAACAATTTATCCTGCAACTGTGATGACAAATTGTTTCAAAATGAAAAAGTTATGGTTGTTATGGTTACGGCAGTCCCGGGTATGTGGAGCAGCGTCACAATTATGTTTTATAATTCTTTTCTCCTACTCATCAAAACTGACACTACACCATCTGTTGCTATACATCAAATTATGTACCACAACAGCAAAAGAAGTAGTACTGTAACATTATTTGGTCATTTGACATTACTACTGTTATCCAGTATTATGTATTTCCCAACAATATCTAAACATTTGTGGTGCATTTTGACCAGAGATTCATAGACCTGACAAAACCGCTGCTGTCCATCTTTCAGATTACTGAATCTCTAAAATTGGCTTCAAGCAGAGTCTCAGTTTCATGTTGAACTTCTAACAAATATTGCTTTAAGATATTCATTAATGTAGAAGTTCAACGGGACATAATCAGGGTAATATGGGCCATTCTACAAAAAAGGTTTAATGTCAAGACATTCAATTGTAAGATTTGCTTTCTTTGCTTTGTGAATTGGTGCATTGTGGCGATGCACCATTGACTTTCCTATTAATCCAGGGACCTTTTTTCTAAGCACTGATATAATGTTTCTTTGATTAAACTGGTTAGTGACATTACATAGTTCCGGTATGTATCAGTGATATCATTATACTTAAAGGACAACTGAAATAGCTTTTCTCAACATGCAGCTACAAAAATGCGGTTTTTATGTCACCACCAAAAGTGGTGACATATTGTTATGGTCTCCGTTTTTTTGCGACGGCGGTTGGCGTCCGGCAGTTGGAGGTTGGCGTCCGGCGTCTGTAACAATTTCTTACAACTTCCTATAACTTAACAAATACTGTTTAGATTGACTTCAATTTTTTTCTAAATCATCTACATGTTATCAGAAATTCAAATCTGACTTTAGATTTGACATTTGACCTTCAATGACCTTCTTAAGGTCAAAAAGGTCTTTTTTCAACTTGCTTCACATTGACTAAATTTTTTTTCAAAATCATCTACATGTTCTCAGAAATTCAAATCTGACTTTAGATTTGACATTTGACCTTCAAATCTGACTTTAGATTTGACATTTGACCTTCAATGACCTTCTCAAGGTCAAAAAAGGTCAAAAAGGTCTGTTTTCAACTTGCTTCAAATTGACTAAATTTTTTTTTCAAAATCATCTACGTGTTCTCAGAAATTCAAATCTTACTTAAGATTTGACATTTGACCTTCAATGACCTTCTCAAGGTCAAAAAAGGTCAAAAAGGTCTGTTTTCAACTTGCTTCAAATTGACTAAAAAAAATTTTCAAAATCATCTACGTGTTTTCAGAAATTCAAATCTGACTTTAGATTTGACTTAAGATTTGACATTTGACCTTCAATGACCTTCTCAAAGTCAAAAAAGGTCAAAAAGGTCTTTTTTCAACTTGCTTCAAATTGACTAAATTTTTTTTTCAAAATCATCTGCATGTTCTCAGAAATTCAAATCTGACTTTAGATTTGACATTTGACCTTCAATGACCTTCTCAATGTCAAAAAAGGTCAAAAAGGTATTTTTTCATCTTGCCTCAAATTGACTAAATTTTTTTTTCAAAATCATCTACATGTTCTCAGAAATTTAAATATGACTTTAGATTTGACTTTAGATTTGACATTTGACCTTCAATGACCTTCTCAAGGTCAAAAAGGTCTTTTTTCAACTTGCTTCAAATTGACTAATTTTTTTTTTCAAAATCATCTACATGTTCTCAGAAATTCAAATCTGACTTTAGATTTGACATTTGACCTTTAATGACCTTCTCAAGGTCAAAAAAGGTCAAAAAGGTCTGTTTTCAACTTGCTTCAAATTGACTAATTTTTTTTTTCAAAATCATCTACATGTTCTCAGAAATTCAAATCTGACTTTAGATTTGACATTTGACCTTTAATGACCTTTTCAAGGTCAAAAAAGGTCAAAAAGGTCTGTTTTCAACTTGCTTCAAATTGACCAAATTTTTTTTTCAAAATCATCTACATCTTTTCAGAAGTTCAAATTTGACTTTACAAGTTCTCAGAAGTTCAAATCTGACTTTAGATTTGACCTTTGACCTTCAATGACCTTTTCAAGGTCAAAAAGGTCTTTTTTCAACTTGCGTCAAATTTACTTAATTTTTTTTCAAAATCATCTACATGTTCTCAGAAGTTCAAATCTGACTTTAGATTTGACATTTGACCTTCAATGACCTTTTCAAGGTCAAAAAGGTCTTTTTTCAACTTGCTTCAAATTTACTTAATTTTTTTTTCAAAATCATCTACATGTTCTCAGAAGTTCAAATCTGACTTTACATTTGACATTTGACCTTCAATGACCTTCTCAATGTCAAAAAAAGTCAAAGAGGTATTTTTTCAACTTGCTTTAAATTGACCAAATTGTTTTAGGTGGTGACATTTTGTCATGTTAATGCCTTGTCTCCATTGTAAGCCCATCGTAGAGTTCTTGCGATAGCCATCATAAAATAAATGTTAGATAACTGCTAACGGTCATAGATAACGAAATAAAACTAACTGATAAATCAAATTGGCCCCCACGTGATTAGTAACGTCATATACAAAATATAGCTTTTTGTTTACTGGTTCCATAGTAATCACAACGTCACGGCAACCACAGGATTGTTGTGTAAACAAATAACAAAACATTTTGGCATTATGACGTCATGATCTAATGGACCAAAACGAGCCACGTGGGGACCAGTGAGAGATCACGTGGGGGTTAAATAGTTTTCACACTACTGATGAGAAAACATGTCCAAATACATCTATCAAAAAATTATATTGATTCCTTTAGGTTAAAAATACCATTTCATATCTGCTTTAAGATAATACTATGGCAGCAAGAATACAATATTGAACAAAACAAAATATTGATAGGAAATACTATAATAAACACTGTTTCAAATGATTAAAATCTAGCAGTTTATGACAATTTAGCGATATCATGGAACTGCTCCACATACCCCTGACCACCGTAACCATGGCAATCGTAACTTTAACACGTTTAAACTACATGTTATAAAAGTTGGTAGATGTACTGTAATATAGTTCCTCTACAATCTGTAGCAATTTCATTACAAAAAACCTAAATCTCTTAAAATTAGAGTGTTTGTATCTTTACTTTCCGGACACCCTGTAGTTAACCACTTTAAAGGAATAAGTGATTCCTCCAGGGGTTTTAAAGATACCCATTATGGGTGACCAAACTTAGCTGAAAGCAATGATTTTTCCTATGGGAAAATAACATGGGAAATATTGTTTTCCACTTTATCTAAAAGGAATCATTTATTCCTTTTAAGGGATTATCTGTGTGTCAAAATGCAACATATTGATGCAAGAAAAATTAAAAAAGCAGGGATGGAAGGGGTTGAAAATCAGGAAAACGTTTCAGAAAAAACATGTGGGTGGCTTGTTTGGATCTACCCTGTCTCAAAGTCGAAATTATTTTATCATCTCTAGAAGTGATTTTCTTGGAGCTAATGCATTCGCCTAACATATGCACCTGTTTAAATCCCCAGGAAATGACCAAAATCAAACATATGACTGTCCAAAATCTGTTGCACTAACTTCCCTCCTCCTTTTACTCTCCACTCAACAGCGTTTTCACGGTTGGTCATCGAAAGATTTGTCCAGTTGGGGGAGCATGCTATTTTTCATAAAAACATTAAACCAGGGTGCTCACTATAGGATTTCAATTGAGCCCAGAGTCCTCTGGCTAATGTTAGAGAGAGGGTCTAGGCACAGTACTTTGCCCCTTCTGTAAAAATGGAGGAAAATTTCACCCTCTTGGATTCATCCCCAGAGAATTTTTAGATTCTTTTGCAATTACTTGTATTTTTTCAAATTTTTGTTATTTACAATTATTCAGGAGAAACACTCTCTCATGCTCCCTATTGAGCCTGACTAATAGAGGACACTCACACTGTCTCACAGTCATATATAGTTTAAATGAGAATATTGGGATTGTCCTTCCCTAATCAGACTCCAGTTCATGTTAACAATTAGGCAAAATATAAAGAGAAGATTTTCTCATACTTTTCCAAAGTGATTTCATTTTCAAGAAACTTTTAATAAAATTATTTTTATTTGTCTGATCTGTAGTTTAAAACTACAACATGATTTGAAATCACAGGGGTCAGGGTAAATTTTGATGCTATGAAATTTCGCGATTTTTCAAAATTGCAATTTCGCGGATTTGAGTTGATGACATTTCGCGAATTGCACAAGTTGAATTTTTTTTTCCGATTACCGTGAATCGATGCGTATCTGGCTATTTTAGCCCGTTCAGAATCCGAATAATGTTTGTATTTCCCACGTTTAGGGCATTTATTTGAATATTCTTGAATGGCTTTTTCAACTTCAATTTGTAGGATATCATTGTCATCAACAGTTCTTGCCTTTGTTGGCCTAATAAGCCCATACAAAATGTTAGACATTTTAGGCCTTTTTTGAATTATCGCCCAACAACACTAGACGAAACGTTTTACACCGAACGTAACATATCAGAAGTCCCGTTTCAAATCCCGGGGATTTAAAAGACAAATTTTGCGACGATAAATGTTCGCGATTTTACTACATTCACGAATAAAGCGAAATTAAATCGCACGCGAACAATACCCGGAGTACAGTATGTAGTTTTTAAGATAACAGATCAAATTCTATTATTCTGTGTGGCCAAATTTGGTGACATGTTTTGATTTTGGGTCGCCTAATTTTTTTCAGACTCGGATTTTTGCTAATGGCGACATGATATTTAGCGCACTGCAGAGTATCACACTCTGAAATGTACCATTTCTTTTTTTTACTTTTCAATGGCACAATATAGTGAAATGATAATATTAACAAATGTTTTCAGTATAACTTTGAAGGTTATAATAACATCTATATGTATTGGGTCTTTTTAATTTTTTCTATGAAAATAATGTTTAATTTTTTTGTCAAGCTTGCTGGGGGATCAGTTTCAATGAAATACAAAACTGCTCCCCCAAGCTGGACAAAGAAATTAAACACTATTTTTCATAGAAAAAATTAAAAAGACCAAATACATCTAGATCTTATTAATACCTTCAGAGTTATGCTGAAAACATATGAAAAAATTATCATGTCACTTTATCGTGCCATGAAAAAAGAAATGGTACATTTTAGTGTGGGAGAAGTGAAAGTTTTCCACAAATGATATACTCATTGCATAGAGTAGTTAATTTTCTTTGGTATAACGAAACATAGGAGTTAAAAAATAACTTGTGAAGTTTTCTTATTAGTGTTTTATGAAAAACAGCATGCTCCCCCAAGCTGGACAAATCTTTATATGACACCCTGTAAGATCAAGTCAAACTGAGGGTGATATACATATGCTTCATTAGTGCCTGTTCAATCAAATCAATTATATTTTTTTATATCTATTTGTAATAGCTAAAACGTATCCCCAACCACATCTCCAAGAATTGAAGTGCTATTTACAAATCTGGTGAATGCGTTGTGGATTTCAAAAATGCCGAGCTAAAAACATTCATGTGAAACCTCTCTAAAATGAGTAATCATATCTTCACACCAGTTTGAATGAATTCATTAAATATGTTACTTCTAGATCTAGGTCAAGCAATTTATTTTTACATTTTTCACTTTTCCAGTGTCTCACTCATGTCAGAATGGATGGATATCATATTCTTCACATTGCTACAAAGTTATAGGTGGGGCTACATATAGCCAATCAGAAGCAGAGAATGAATGTCAGAACTTCAATGGACACCTAGTTTCTATAGCAACAGAGGAGGATGAAGCAGTCATTGTTGGAATAAGGTAAGTGGCATCGACCATCTGAATTATATTATGTCACTCTTGTGAACCTGGGAGTCAGTATCTGGATCTTCAGATGATGAAGACATTATTCATTTCAGATTTTGGTGAGAACTAACATTCCCCATCCAGACAATGCATTTCAGATTCAAGTGAGAATTGACATTCTCCATGCAGATAATACATGTCAGATTCTGGTGAGAATTAATATTCTCCATGCAGACAATGCATGTCAGAACCTGATGAGAATAACATTCTCCATGCAGACAATACATGTCACATTATTGTGAGAATCAACATTCTCCATGCAGACAATACCTGTCACATTATTGTGAAAATTAACATTCTCCATGCAGACTGTACATGTCATATTGTGGAAATAAACATTCTCCATACAGACTGTACATGTCACATTATTGTGAGAATTAACATTCTCCATGCAGACAAAACATGTCACATTATTGTTAGAATTAACACTCTCCATGCAGACTTACTAGTCACAGTACATGTCACATTATTGTGAGAATCAACATTCTCCATGCTGACAATACCTGTCACATTATTGTGAAAATTATCATTCTCCATGCAGACTGTACATGTCACATCATTGTTAAAATAAACACTCCATGCAGACTGTCCATGTCACATTATTGTGAGAATTAATAATCTCCATGCAGACTTACTAGTCACAGTACATGTCACATTATTGTGAGAATCAACATTCTCCATGCAGACAATACCTGTCACATTATAGGGAAAATTAACATTCTCCATGCAGACTGTACATGTCACATTATTGTGAGAATTAACATTCTCCATGCAGACTTACTAGTCACAGTACATGTCACATTATTGTGAGAATTAACACTCTCCATACAGACAAAACATGTCACATTATTGTGAAAAACATTCTCCATGCAGACAATACTAGTCACAGTACATGTCACATTATTATGAGAATCAACATTCTCCATACAGGCCGACAAAATGCAAATGAATAATCAAATGTCAACTGAAAATATAATTTTGAGTGATTTATTTATTTATTATTTTCTTTTGAACAAATCAATGTTAGTTTAAGCAATCTATTGGAATACCAAACTTTCAGTTCAGATTTACATTTGATGTAACTACATTATATACGGTTTAGTTTTGGTACAAGATGTGTCTTTAAGTCTATTGAAGGTACCTGTACTACAGTCTGAGTAGCATCAGTGTCTTGTATTGGCCTTACATTCAATGTTTGTGTTGTCTCTAGGTGTGACAGTCTCTGTTGGTGTGGCATTCCATGTTGCCATTACATTGTTCTTAGCTATAACATTTTCTACACTCTTTTCGGGTGTTACAGTCTCTGGTAGTGTTACATTGAATGCTGGTGTTACATTGTCTTTGGGTGTCTCTGTTGATGTTTTATTCAATGTTTGGTTGGCATTGTTGTTCGAGTTACAGTCATTGGATTCAGCATGATATATGGAACTGTTTGCACAGAATTGAATATTGTCCACTTGTTTTTTATGAGCCTCACTTTGAAAATGTCTGGCACCATCGTCACTTTCTGATATGTCACTGTCATTGAAAGAATCATCTGAAAAAATAATAGATCTGTTATTAGTTTGTTATTTTTTGACACCAAGTACTGTTTAATTAGCAGCAAAACTAGATTAGTCTATGATTAGATTTATCAAATTCAACATATCAAGTTATGTTGATTTTTTTGAATGTCATAAATTTTATTTTCTTATTTTCTTTGTTGATTGAATTCTGATACATATATCTTTCAATTAGTGATAAAACAACCTTAATTATATTAGAATGTCTCCCCCGTTTACAGAGTTAATTGTAATCATTAAGTATATTATCAAGAAATCTTATGTTTAAATCAATTGTCATAATCTTGGTACACTTAAATTCAGCAATCAATTTGAGATTCAATATACTGTGGTAGAATACCAAAATCCTATCTTATGCAAGTTAATCATGAAAATGCCAATGAATATACAAATGCTGTAATACCCAGAAAGAAACATAAAAACTAAAAATGTATTGAATTTTTCAGATGGATCAAGGAATTTACTTTATTCAGTTTACTGTTTATTTCTTGATTTTTTTTGTTCAGTAAGTTCCCGAGAGTAAGTTGAAGAGAATTGGAGAAAAAGCACAGACCTTAAAGAGTGTTGTGCTGTTTCACTGAGATTTATATATTGATGCATCTTTTTCATGAAAAATACTGTTTTGGATACTTCTATATTATTTCATTCTTTTTCTTCTTTGCTTTTCGCTTTCTTTTCTTTTTTCTTTCTGTTTTTCATTCTTTAATGTTGGCCTGTACAGTATAGAAGGAAATTGAAGAACGTTTTTGAAAAACACCAGTCTTTTATTAATGGTGAATTGCGAAAAGTATTACCTTCCATATGATTGTCATCTTCAATATATGTGTCCCAGTCAATTCCAGTTTCATTTTCATCTGGACTGAACCATTGTGGGGATATAGCAGGTAACGAGTAGAGCTCATCATCCTCACCCATTGTCCAGTCTTCATTTAGCATAGGAGTCAAATCTAGCTTCAGTTCTAGCTTTCGGAATTGCTCTGGTTTTGGAATTGAAATATGTTGATTTTGGTCAACATTGTTGAGATCTTCTTTGGATTCTTCTGTGGGGTCATCAAGGTGGTGTAATTCTGAAATTGGTATTGCTAGCACGGATGCTTCATATTGTAGTCCATTGATAAGAGCTGATGCGAGAATAGCAGCAGGACTGTATTGCCCACTTGTGTCTATGGTCAATGGGGATGAATGTTGATAACCCCGAACATTGTTTCCGTCTTGAAGGTTTGTGTCACTTAAGTGCCTCAGCAAAGACATCCTCGATTTATATTTTTCCTGTTTGAGACCTTTAATTCCAAATTGTTTATTATTCCAAAAAGGAATTAATAATGAAAATATAATATTGTTTTGTAATAATATTTTCCTATCCTGTATATCATCTATTTGTTATTAACATAAATATAATTCTGTACTATTTTTTCTATCTTGTAGATCATCTATTTGTTATTAACAAGGTATTTCGCTCTTTAAGCTGTTTGCCAAGAACTGATTCAGAAAATCTCAGAGCATTAGTTTTATTCAGTAGATAATTAGCATGAGTTCCCACATGCAATTCATGGTCTGACGTGTGTTTATAAAACAATCAACCTGACACAGGAATCACAGGAACTGATCTCATTGTTTTACCTGTAATCTCCATGTCTCTGTTGTTATTATTTTAGACATGATGTCTCCCTTGTCTTCCTGCTTCCAGGAAATGTGTCCAGTTAATGTTTGTACCTGGAACTTTGTCACAGGATGTTTTAGAATGTTCCAAACTTTTGTCAAAAATGTTTGTCATTTTTTTTTAAAATTTTATAAGTTTGCTTCATTTGCGCCTTTTTTTAAGATTTAGTATCAAAAGGGGGTACTTTGTTTTACAATGTAAATTAAAATTAGATAGAAATATTTCAAATATATTGTTTTAAACTTTAGGATATGATTTAGTGTCAAAAGAAGGTATTTTTTGTTTTTTATTTTTGTTATAAACTTTGGGATGTGGTTTAGTGTCAAAATGAAATGAAATGATGTTTGTAATATTTGCACCTGAATCAAACTATTTTAAACATTGGATATCATTTAGTGTCAAAGGATGACTTTTCTTGTTTGCAACAATTTGTTTCAAACTGGGTGTAACCATGGTAATGGTGTAAATTTCCTCTCAATTTTTTCATTGTGCCAACACCTTCGAATTAAGCAGTGAAATTACAGATCATATAGTATAATTAAACATCAACAATGACAGTCATAAATCAAAATGATCATAACCATGGAGGAGTCATACATGATGGATGTCATGCATGGTTTTAAAACACTTTAAAGATTTGGACTTCTCTAATCTCCAGCTTTTTTGTAATTAAGAAATGATTGTGTTCTAGTAGATTGAAAACATATTCACACTGAATTTGGTGCATTTCAAACTATTGTTCCCAGATTTCCAGAAACAATTTGTTCCCAGATTTTTTAATGTTTACAAAATTGTTTTATTCTTTTTTTTGTTTTTGTTGGGATGAATGATGCAATTGCACCCATTGCACTCATTGCAGGCCCATGACCTAGATGTGAAGGTATCATATTACCCTGCCAAGTACCCGTGTCAGTGAAATGACAGGTGTTTTTATTTTCCAAACATTGTATCTTTAAAGGTGACTATAATTAACTAAATATCAAGAGATCCTCAGATACATGTATCTGTTAAAACTTCTACATATTGTTGAACAATATTATTTATTCCAGATGGATAAGTATAGGATTTCCTATGATTTTAAGTGATAAAAATTTTATCCACTAGTTGATATCAAATATCTGGACGAGTGAGGGTAGTATTTTGGATATCAAATTCTCCCTATTCCACCGATACCACTTTTTCCACTCATTTACAAAATATCATAAATATATTTATATGTACTTGTTATCATACAGATTTGACCTTAACTATAGGATATACTATGATTTGGAGTGATATCATTTTTATCCACGGGTTGATATCTATTCTTGAACCTGTGAACATAGCAAACAAACAGTTTTTGTGTAACCAGTGAAAAATACAAAATTATTTAATTTTCACTAAATCATCAAATGGGGCATTTTGAACTATGAGAGATCTGACACTGATTCCAATGGTTAATGTATTATTGCTACTTTGCCAATGCCGACAATATTATTTGGAATGTTTTGTGTAAATGATTTAAAACACCCCTTATCTATCTTGTAAAAATAAATGGATGGATAAAAATCATAACGGCAACGGCAACGCTGATAAATCATAAGATACTGTACTCCAGATAATTTTTGCGCGTGACTATATTTCGTGCTTTCACAAGGTTTTTCAAGGTTCACGAAATATAATAGCTACAATGATTCGAAAAGTTCTAATTCATGAAATATAATAGCGTCAAATATTAATTATCCCACCGAACGAAGTTTGAGGGGGATATAGAAAAGCCGTTCGTCCGTCCGTTCGTGTGTCCGGGCAATAACTCAAATACCAGTTGACGGATTTCATTCAAATTTTATAGGCTTATGCCTTATATGTGTAGGACCTCTGCTTGAGAAGGAATTTTCAATATGGCCACTAAATTTAAAATGGCGGCCATTTTTCGGAAAAAATATAATCTTTCATAACTCAAATACTACTGGATGGATTTGGTTCAAATTTTATATGCTGTTTCCCAGGTACAAAGGAGCCTTGCTGAAGAAGACATTTTCAAGATGGCCACCATATTTCAAAATGGTGGCCATTTTTTCGTAAAAAAACGTTATCTTTGATAACTGAAATACCATTGAATGGATTTGTTTCAAATTTTACATGCTGATGCATAGGGACATAGGAGCTCTATTTGAGAAGGGATTTTCAAGATGGCAGCTAAATTTCAAAATGGCTGACATTTTTCATAAAAGACACAACCTTGATAACTCAAATACCAGGTGATCGATTTGGTTCAAATTCTATATGCTGATGCCTAGAGACAAAGAGGTTCTGCTCAAGAAGACATTTTCAAGATGAAAAGAAGAAATCTAAAGATGACAGTTGAATTTCAAAATGGCAACCATGTTTCATAAAAACACAATCTTTGATAATTCAAATACCAGTGGATGGATTTGGGTCAAATTTTATATGGGCGGCATTTATCAAAACATGTTTTGTTTGGTGGGATTTGCTACTCCGTGGAGTTGCTGTTTTTCTAGTTGGAGTACAGTATCTCTTTTTCTTTCATATATCCAAACAAAATATATTTCTTCTATTTTCAGTGTATTGAATGGCCTGAACAAATTCTGGTTGGGTCTAACATTTGACGTTCAGGGCACAAGCACATGGACAGATGCATCAGCTGTTAATTATACCAATTTTGACCCAAGTGACCAGTCTTGTCCAGGCTGCAACTGTGTTATATTAGATGGTTCACATGCTACTGGTTGGATCTGGTCAAAAACCGAATGTACTGAGACATTTAAGGCCATTTGTATGAAAATTGAGGGGAACAGCACTCTTGGAATCCAGAATCAAACCATTTGGATCAGTGAAACAGGTTTCTATTTATTATAGTTAACTGATTATTATTGAGGAATAAAGACCGAGATTCTATGATTTATGACGCAATATATGACCAAACATTTTATTCGTTCATCGTTATTAATTGTCTTTGGCAATGGCTAGAATAAAATTTGAGATCATATATTTGCCATAGCTCATAGAATCGAGGTCTTTGTTACGATCCTAATATGATAAAGAAACCAGAAAAATTAAGTGGTCATATACTCCAATATACACCAGTGAATCTATTCTTCTAGTTATTTTGATTTTACATATCATATTAGAATCATCCAGATATAAAGTGCACTCTGCAAAGTATGTATTTATCCCATCGAACGAAGTTCAGAGGGATATAGGGAACGCCTCTGTCCATACATCATCTGATAATCTACCTTCATCGTGAAGATATCCAAATGTTAGCCTGAATTTATCTATGTGTAAAGACTACATGCTTCTGTTGCTCTGCAACAACAGATGTGTAATTGAGTGATTTTGTTCATATTTGATTTATGAATACTTATAGCAACCATTTTGAAAATGGTGGCCAATTTTATGTGTGTTAATTCACGATTTTTGCTATACGCTTCGTTTGTAAAAATGCCAGCCATGGCTGTTTGATGGGATTTGCTACGCATGCTTTGGTGTTGCTGTTGTCTCTTCCAATGAACAAAATTTAGGATTATGTTGTGGAGTTTCAAGAATTTGTCTGTTGCTTATTGAACCTGTTACTGAACCCCTAGTACTATAGATGTATGAAATTGTTAAAGCATTTAAGCTCAGGTCTCAATGAATTGTAGATGATTTGAACAGGGGCGTAGCCAGCTTTGAGTCAGGGGGTGTGATCGCCAAAAAAGTTTTGGTTTTCAGTCAAGGGGGCGGTGCAATTGTGGCATAAACAAGCCAAAAAATTAAGATTTACCTTGAGTTTTAAAAAAATTGATGCAACTTCCTTTAAAATTGAGCTAGAAGCTTCAAATAAAAAGCATTTTAAAGCTCTTCTATCTCATGGTTATATTTTATCGGTTATGGGGGGTGAGGGGTGCACCCATCACACCCCCTGGCTACGCCTATGAACAATATAGTCTTTTATCGAGACTTTGAATAAGGGTGGCAGTTGTTATTGTAGTATATTGTGAGGTAACATTTAACCATGTTTAAATGCATAAGAAACAATAGAATAAACTAACATATACATTTATCAGTTGGTGTGTACCTACTTAAGCGTGACAGTTGAACGCACAGGGTAAGGTACAACATGAGGATGATGTGATTTGAGCAAACTGATATTTCATCACCCTTGTGTTGTACCTTACCCTGTGCGTTCAACTGTCACGCTTAATTTGGTACACACTCTGTGTTTACATGTATATGTGAACTTCTGTGTGTTGTTAACTTGTTCTAACCATCCGTCTGTCCGGAGGATAACTCAAATACTATTGAACGGATTTCTTCATATCTTTTGGAAAGGTATATCGGTAAATAGTTTTAAGCAAAATAAGATTTTGATCTCTTCAAAGTATGGCTATATAATTATACTCAAATTGAAGGAATTTAAAGGCAGATTTCAAATATGGCATTGGTTTTTTTGATTTGTGCCTCAAATATTGTATTGTCTTTATGACGTCTTTTAATATTTACCCATAATTTAATTAAGTGTACAGCAGATGGTGAATATTACATTGTGACATACATGTATACAGATTCGTGAATATAGTGTTCGTTTGGATATGCTACTCCGTGGAGTTGCCGATTTCTAGTTTCAAATAATATTATAGCAGTCTTTTAACAGAGTTATCTTTGTACACCAATCCCAAGGTTCTAATACATGATTAAAAAAGTGGAAGTAATAGATTTATGGATCTGGTTGCCTCATAGAGTGCTAGTTTTGAACTATAGTACTTATGAGACCACTAACTGCTTTCTTTATTAAGTTCAACCATGGGCATTCAAGAAAGCCCATGGTTCAATTAACACGGTGTATAACCCAAACGCTCCTACATGCACGACGGAGCGTTTCATTACTGAAATTAAACAAAGAAACGCTCCGGAGTAGGAAAACTGGCTGGCGGGAATGATGAGCCGTCTGACGATTTCCCCAATAATGGGAATAAGAGGTATGAGTTACATATTTCGAGTATACCATTCGATGGGTGTGATATTCATGTTGTACGTGGCTGGCTGTTGACGTTTGAAGCAATTAGGAAGAGCTATACGAAGCAGTATAGTTATCAAAATTCAAAAACGTATTTATCATTCTACCGGTCAAAACCCCTTTTGTCGATACATGTGATTAGTTGAGCCAAGATTAGAGCACCAACGTATATTTTAGTCAATTTCGAATGCTTCAACGCACCATACATTATCGTAATAGTGATTTGATGACCGAAAATCCAGTCTTAAAAATGATGACATTCTCATATTCAAGAAACGCTCCGATCTGATTAACACAGTGAACTGGAAACGCTCCGGTAGTCTAGATCAGTTTAGGAAATATATAGCTTGCCTTTCCTTTTCAGGAAGAGAAAGAAAATATCTATTATACCCCTTGGCATCAATAGAAGAAAGATTAATTCACAAATAAATTTTCGTTTTTTCCTATAGTTTTATGATTTAGCACATATGTAGGCATGACATCATCTAATGTACAGGCTTAAATCAGCTAGTTGCACGTTTAGCACCACCAGGTTCAGATGTTTCAATTTGCCTAACAAGTACAACACGTTTTTAAGAGATAGATTCGATTCGGGACTCTTCTCTAATAATCTGAAAATGATATCAAAACAAAATGGTAAGAGCGTTTCTAAAATTGTGTTCTAAATCGACGGAGCGTTTCGAGGAAAACAAGCGATTTCTCGAGAACAAGTAATGGATTTGGACTGGGATTTTAGGAAATGAGAATATACGAGTTTGTGATCTACTACTTTAACAGAAAGATTAACGTTTTCATAGAAATACTAGTTTAATTCGTAATTTGTGGTCAAAACGTCATCTTCAGATTCGTTCGATCTACACTACGGAGCTTTGATCAAGCAAATAACAGTTTACCACCAGAAGTTGAATAAATAAGATCTTTGCTCACGGTGTTGTTCATCGAATGGTACATAATATATCACCATTACATATGATATGTAAGAGAAACGAGAGAAACAATACTTACGGTCATAGTGGAATCTTCATTAGCCGCCATTTTATTTCGCTCAGGAGCGTTTCCGCGTAAATGTAACGCTCCGTCATGCATGTAGGAGCGCTTGGGTTATACACCGTGATTAAAGTTGAAATCTTTATATTGTGTTCACAATTAACTACAGGGTGGGCCAAATGACATCCACATTTCATTTTTGCCACAGCTTTTTTTAATAATACATCTTTTGCCACATTTTGATGAGAACAATGAGAGAAAAAACATATCAAGGCTGTGTGCAAATTTTCAGAAAAACACATCAAGGTTGTGTGCATATTTTCAGAAAAAAACATCAAGGTTGTGTGCATATTTTTAGAAAAAAACATCAAGGTTGTGTGCAAATTTTCAGAAAAACACATCAAGGTTGTGTGCATATTTTCAGAAAAAAACATCAAGGTTGTGTGCATATTTTTAGAAAAAACACATCAAGGTTGTGTGCATATTTTTAGAAAAACACATCAAGGTTGTGTGCATATTTTCAGAAAAACACATCAAGGTTGTGTGCATATTTTTAGAAAAACACATCAAGGTTGTGTGCATATTTTTAGAAAAAACACATCAAGGTTGTGTGCATATTTTTAGAAAAAACACATCAAGGTTGTGTGCAAACTTTCAGTGACAGAATTATGCTTAATAGACCTCAAATATGAATATATCAAATTAATGTAATATATTAAAAGGTCTGTCAAAGTAATGCATAAGGTTACGGGTGGTCACAATATTCTAAAACTATCTATATACCAAAAGTGTACCATTGGAGATGGTAAGATAGAGAAAAATGATTCAAATAAGGTGATCAGTGGAAATCTGCTCATGCAATTTATTCAGTCAGGCATCTCATTTGTGATTCAAAGAGAACAAGGTGCCTGATTGAGCCCAACACTTATTACACTTGAACCAATGAATTTTGGACAAAATAGTACTCTATTGAACTTGTTTACTCTTGCTGATCATAAATATACCCTTTTCATCGGAAGACATATAATAAGTACCTTATCATTGATTGTGGTTTTCCAGCAAAAATGTTCATGAAAATCTGAAAAGCAAAATATAAAATGTGGATTCAATTTAGTTAATCCCCTCCAATATGATATTTACAGGTGCAATCTGGAAGGATATCCAAGGTGCATGCATCAAGGGATACAACAAGCGTACCGTGGTTCGTGTCGATACGATGGAGAAATGCAAGGAGCTATGTAAAGGAGAGGGTGAATTCAGTTGCAAGTCCATTGATTACAATGCTCTTGAAGAGACATGCCAAATTTCAGTAAAATACTCAGGAAATCATTTCATAGAAAACCCCTGTCCTAGTGAGTCTCACTGGAGTTATGCTGAAATGAGCAACATGGGTAATCATGTTTTTTTATTTAGTATTTTAACTGATACTATTTAATGTTAACACTCAAGTATACATAGATGTAGCATTAGTTAAAAACTCTTCCACAAAATTGGCCACAGGCTTTTTTACACCTGAAAAAACATTTGCACCATCTTGAAAGGGACGAAAATCATAAAACATTGGCAAGTCTGAATTGTGTACCATGTTGTTACCTTGGCATTTTCAGCCAAACCATTTCATGAATTCATTTCAAACTAAAACCTTGTCCATGAAGTCCTGCCACCATGTTTTCAGCAAAACCATTTAATGGATTCACATCAATTCTGTATTCAATTAAAGGGCACTTATTCATCTTGTGTCTTGTGTATTTATTTTTCAATAACTTATACAACCCCATATTTCTCAGAGACTATGATGTTTTATTTCAACTTCAATGTTATCTGAGTGGTATCTCACTTTTACTGAGGAAGCTAGGTCAAAACCATATTTACATTTTCGAAAATTTGAAATTCCAACACTCCCTTTAATAATATGTTTTCCAGAGAATACAGGTCTAATCAAGAATATGTTTTGCTATAATAGTTGTATTCCATCTTTTCATTTGATATAGAGACAGCTGAAAAAAGCTGATTTATCTTTCTTATTTTATAAATGTACATTGTAAAATTCAATGGCATTTGACAGGATGATAGTCATTTTTTTTACTATCTTGTGTAGATTATGATTTAAATCCTTTAAAAAAATAAGAGTTTTTTTTTACTTTCATTTATGTAACATTGTATCAATTAGGAACCATTATTATATTAATTATATTAAGGAAATGAATAATATATAAATAAATTAAACCCAGTCTTTTTTCAGAAAACTTAAAAATCCTGGGAATTCCAATACAATTGAATACCTGTAGCAGGGGTTTCATTAGCAGCAGGCAACAGGCGATTTTCACCTGTTGTTTTCACAAAATTGCCTGTTCTTTTTAGGGACTTTTCAACTTTTCCATGTTAAATCTATGATTTCTATTAATTTTGCCTGTTGTTTTCATTTATTGAGCCTGTTGTGACAAATTCCAGTGAAACCCCAGCTTTAGGCTACATATCAAAGTTCTTCTATGAGAAAATGATACATAGATTTAAAATATTTCATCAAATAGGAGAAAATTTGAATTATTATTGGTTGAATGTGCAAATCTGCAAGATCAAACAAGATTTCAAAGCTATACATACTGTATAGCAGACTGTTGTTTTGAAAGCCACACTATTTTTCTCACTATTGTAACAACTTTAACAATTGTTGCAACCAGGTGGGCATGAATTTTATAATGTTAATACATTGTCTTTTATTTTTAAAGCTAACTGCAGTGAACAACTGGTATCTGGAAGAACTTACTCTGTTTCTGATGGTGCCATTACTGTTTCTAGTACTTTGGCCGGATCCCTTGATCATAGCGAAGCCAGATCTAGATTAGATACTCCTGCAAATGGGCAGTATGTCAAATACACTTTATTCATATCATGACAATGTGAATTATGGTGTATTAATGGTATTTTTTCACAGGTTCTGTGATATTTGTAGGATATCCTGTCAGAATAAAAACAGTGTTTTTGTAGTCATTTTTGGTGAATGGGCAAATGTGGTGAAATGAGGCACATTCAGATTTTCATCAATGTAGGGAAGATGTCACATCTCTATTTTTAGAAATTTTTCTTTGTAAAACAACATTGGAAAAGCGTTCATAATGAGAAAAAAATCACTCTGTTGAAAGATTTACCAGCAAACCAACAATTTGCTTTGCAATAATGTTGCTATTTTCTATATTTCAGAGGGATAGGGGCCTGGGCTGCTGAAGTCAAAGATGCGAACCAATGGATACAGGTTGATCTTGGTGAAGTTATGTTAGTGACAGGGGTGGTCACACAAGGAAGAGCTGACGAGCCGCAATGGGTTAAAACATACAAGTTGGACTATGGTACGAATGGTCCTGGTGAAGAATATGGACGGGTAAAAGATAATTTTATTCAAGTACACTGTATTGTATTACAGTATTAAATGATTTGAGTACTGCAGCACTTTGATATAGCCTACATCCATGATAAAACAGAGATTAAGAAATGATAATCAGATGCCAAATGTAAAATGCTAGTGATAAGGGACAGTGGGGAAAGAAGGGCCGTGGGGCAAGATGGGCCACCAAGATTAATTTAGCATTTTAAAATATACATTGGCTGATATTTATCAAAATCAAGATCATCTTGATAGTTTTCCTTCTTGAACAGTCAATTGTAGACATTATTATGATGTTATGATCACAGTGCACACCCACATTATAACACTAGCACTTGCCCTGTAGTGTTTACATTTCCTTCTTGGAGCCGAAGCAAGGTTTTAGTAACTAGGGCTATTGAACTCAAATTCTAGTAGATTGATTTGGTTCAAATTTTATATGTTAACCATGCCCATAGCCAGCTTTTTGTAAGGGGGGGGGGGCTCCCCTTCCCCCAAGTACCCCAACTCTGCCAACAAATAAAAAATAAATAATAAATTTTTCTATGTAAAACCAACCCCCTTCGTAATGAAGGGCAGTGGCGATCTGGAAGCTAAGAATAGGGGGGACCCACACTTCAATTATATCTTCGTATATATGAAAAAGTATCAGCACTTGCGCAGAATTTTTTTTGAAATTTTGGAATTTCTTTTAGATAATTTGGTCAAAATTTGATAATAAGGCCTTAAAAGGCCAAGTAATGCTCAACAAGGCCCACCAATGAGGCCCTATGAGGAGGGGCTCGAACCCCCTCCCCCAAGTACCCCAACCTCTGCCAACAAATAAATTTTTATCACACCATTGGTTTCGGGAGAAACCGCTAGTCAGATTTTCTCAGAATTCACACACATGATAGAAGATATCAAATTCTGGAGCTGATTAACTTTTCGGTGGCCATCTTGTTTTCTGGTGGCCATTTTGAAAGTTTTTTAGAAAACCTTATCATCGCCATTTCAGGAAAACCGCTCATCAGATTTTCTTCGAATTCGCACACATGATAGAGGATATCTAGTTCTAGAGCTGATTAACTTTTGGGCGGCCATCTTGTCTTCTGGAGGCCATTTTGAAGATTTTTCGGAAAATTTTGCCATTGCCATTTCAGGAAAACCGTTCATAGGATTTTTTCCAAATTTGCACACATGATAGAGGATTTCAAATTCTAGGAGCTGATTACCTTTTGGGTTGCCATCTTGTTTTCTGGCGGCCATTTTGTAGATTTTTTCTGAAAATCTTGTAATCGCGATTTCAGGAAAACCGCTTGTCGGATTGTTTCCAAATTCACACACATGATAGAGGATATCAAGTTCTAGAGCTGATTAACTTCTGGGCAGCCATTTTCTTGCGGCCATTTTGAAAGTTTTTTGATGTTGTGATCTCATTCACGTCATGTGCCTTGTTCTATGTTAAACCAACCCCCTTTGGAATGAAAAGGGCAGTGACGATCTGGAAGCTAAGAATGCGGGGACCGACACTTCAATTTATATCTAAATATGAAAAAATATCGCCGCTTGTGCAGAAATTTTTTTGAAATTTTGGAATTTCTTTTAGATGATTTGGCAAAAACTTAATAAGGCCCTAAAAGGCCAAGTAATGCCCAAAAGACCCACCAATGAGGCCATATGAAATTTTTGGCCCTACCTGGCATGGCTTCCTGGATGAACTTAAATTTTGGCCAAACACTAAGTTTTGAAATGCCTGTAACTTTTTCCCATTTGTGAGTTGAGCCATGATACTTGGCAAATCAATGTAACTTTGGATAAGCTTTAAAATGATATAAGACACAAACTATGGAGACATTGGTATATGTCTAGTAGGTCTACCTAGAGGGGTCCAATACTTTTGGGACACCCTGTATACTAGCGATCTACCTGTTAGAGTTGGTCCCCAAGGGTTACAACAGCCCCCACATGACAGCAGCCCATATGGAATGCTAAATACCTGCATATTGATCTTTTGACCATGACTAATTCTTGAATTGATGTGAACTTGTGTGGAGGCCCTGAAAAACCAAATACCTAAGCTAGTTATTCACATTTGACCTTGAGATGACCTTGTCCCATAAACATTGACTTTGACCTCAGTACACCTAATCATGAGTCACCAAGGGTTACAGTATCCTACAAGGTCCTTAAAAGGCCAAATACTATGACATTGATCTTTGACCTTGACCCATAAAACTGACTTTGACTTCACCTAATCATAAGTCGCCAAGGGTCACAAAGCCCCCAGGACCTTAAATCACCAAATATCTAGATATTGACCTTTGACCTTGTAATGACCTTGACCCATTAAGTGACCTTGACCTCAGGTCACCTAATCATGGGTTGTCAAGGGTCACTGCACAAACCAAGGCTCTTAAAAAGCTAAATACCTAGATATTGACCTTTTACCTTGGAATGACCTTGACATCTGACCTTTGTATTATGTCCACTGGCCCACTTAGTATGTGGACCAAGTATGAAGACCCAGTGTCAAATGGTCTTGGAGGAGATGTCTGGCCTGGCAGGCAGGCAGGCGGGTGGATGGGCGGGCGGATGGCAGGGCGGATGGACAGACAGATGGACGGGCGGACAAACAGACAGACAGACCACCATGCTATATTGTAAAAAGAAGAAGATAAGGGTATCAAAGAACCCAATAGAGGCCCCAAAAGGACTTGATTGAACTTCCTGTATTATTTTTAGACTCTAACAGGAAATAGTAACAGTGACACCCATGTTACTAATGGTATGGATCCACCTTTGAATGCAAGATATGTCCGCATTAAACCTCAGAGTTGGGAAGAGCATATATCATTGAGGTTTGATATCATTGGATGCCCATTGCCAGGTAAGAGTATATAAATATAATATAGTAAGTGTATTATATGTAAAATGTGTCTCATAAGCCCAGGTAGGGCTGACTATCTTAGATAGGTGAGACTTAAATAAATGAATAAATAAATAAATTGAAGTCCATGGAAACATCTAACTTACTTGCCATCATCATCAAAACCCTTACATTCATAGTGGGATCTTCAATCTCTCTCCTGGAGTACTCCCTCTCAAGCATTAGATCAAGTGGGCCTCTAATTAATCCGAATTTCTTAAATCTCGGGGTACTATATATCTTTGATATCAGGGCCATAAAAATAGATATAATGATAATTGCAATTCCAGAGTCATATAACCCACTAGCTCAGTGCAACTGGCCAGTTGATCCTCCACCAGCAGTCTATAGTGAATACTCAGCCTTGCTTTCATTGGAAAATGGCACCCAAATACAGAACAACACAGGAGTAGCAGTCAATGAGCCACTTATTGCACGCTTCAGTCTTAGAGGCATAGGCCCTTTGCATTTGAAAATAAATGTAAGAGTTCATTTCATGTTGCATCATAAGTGCCAGGCTGGAGAGACCCGACCCAGTTACAGTAATTTCAATCTTATTTTAACTGATTTTTCCCTGTATGAACTTTTCTTTTTTCTATATCTATATATATCTATTTCTATAAAAAAGGAGCAATGATTTGAGTGATAAAAGGGAAGTTTTGATACTTTTAAAGCTCAATCATATTTCATCACTTGATTTAAAGGCCTCACAATGTTTAACTACCTTGCAATTTGGAAATTACATTATCATTACAAGTCTAGAATTACAAGATTCTCATGAAAATTTAACATATTTTTTAGGTGACTGCTATTGATCAATACCCAAGTGTGCAGGGTGAGAATAATTCAACACCTGTGCCCAGTCTAAATCTTGCCAGCCTGTTTCCAAGTAACGTAGGCATTACCCAACAGTAAGCAATTCTCTCATGTAGTTTACATATTTTATCCAACAGTAAGCTATTGCTTTATGTATTTTACATGTTTTACCCAACAGTAAGCAATTCTTAGTATTAGCATTCTCTCATGTATTCTACATATTTCAGCCAACAATAAGCAATTCTCTCATGTATTCTACATATTTCATCCAACAGTAAGCAATTCTCTCATGTATTCTACATATTTCACCCAACAGTAAGCAATTCTCTCATGTATTCTACATATTTCACCCAACAGTAAGCAATTCTCTCATGTATTCTACATATTTCACCCAACAGTAAGCAATTCTCTCATGTATTCTACATATTTCACCCAACAGTAAGCAATTCTCTCTCATGTATTCTACATATTTCACCAAACAGTAAGCAATTCTCTCATGTATTCTATATATTTCACCCAACAGTAAGCAATTCTCTCATGTATTCAACATATTTCACCCAACAGTAAGCAATTCTCTCATGTATTCTACATATTTTCCTTAACAGTAAGCAATTCTCTCATGTATTCTACATTACACCCACATTAACTGCTCAAAATTGCACGTGAGATTTTCTCAAAAAACACAAGAAGTTAAACTAAGTAAACAAGGTATTATAATGGAATAACTTCTTTCTATATACAAAATATCTTTTTGAAGGATTCAGCTGAAGGATATGGTTTATTACTTGAACCAGACAACTGATTACAGCAGTGGGAACGGTGAATACTCACCTGAAAATAGCAATCGTTGTACCAGTGACTGTATTGATAGCAAAGAGTTTTGCCTCATGAATCATAATGATGAGTTCACTCATAATTTTGAGATAACAACACCAGGTAACATTGTTTTTTTATAGTATTACCCATTCTATTTGAACATGTTCAAACATAAATTAGAGATACTTAGAGATTGTATAGCTCAGGATTTCTTCATCTTTTTTTCTTGCTAACTTGTTGCCTGCTTTGCCAACCGCCTGACCACCTGCCCGCCAGCCTACCCGCCAGCCCGCCTGCCCGCCTGCCTTTGAACTAGACTTTGAACATATTAAATGCATTTCTGTTCTGATTATAGGCTACTATTCCATATGGGCACACGTCTCAACAAAGACTAGCAGTATTCAAAGAAACATAGGTAAATATGAGTATAGTGCAGTACAATTATGTTCCATTTGTGGGTTTCCTAGTTTGTAAATGCTGACATAAAATTGATCAGCTTCAAAGAGATTGAATGAAAAACACAAATATGAACTTATTTTTGTGCATGCTATTGTTTTTAACCAAGATGATTTTGATTTGTAGCACCTTGGGCACTGTTTTTGGCACAATACTGTTATTGAAAAATTACAGGGTGAAACACTTAGATGGACATCATGATTTGATTGGCAGCCACCAAAAAATGCAGAGTGGTACATAAAACCACTAATATGGAAAAAAACTTGCATCGATTCTTAGTCATCTCAGAAAGTTTGAGATCAATCATGCTAATAATGAATGAGTTATTACACTTTAAAATCGGTAACATTTTTTGGCCCACCTTGTATAATGTCTACTTGTAGAGGAACAATGACAAGTCATGATGTCTTCATTTTATTGCAACTATTGTTGTTTTCAGGGAAGTTGTACATTGAACACCCTATTTCCACATTCAACGTTGTCACAGACAGCCCAATAATCAAGCCCACACTGGAGATGACATATGAATTCTCACCCCCTCTACCCTCAAATATAAATTACACAATCAAGGATGGAACTTTTTCAGGTAAGATTCAAAATTAATCTGGATATCAATAAAGGAAAGCAAAGATGTCAAAGAATTTCCGAAGTATGCTGCAATGGAGTATCCCTGCATTTTGCAAGCAAGTCAGGCCCGTAGCCAGAGGGGGGGGGGGTTTAATGGGTTCCAGCGTTAATGGGTTCCACCCCCCCCCCCCCAGCCAAAGAATCTTATAAAATCATGCAGTTTTTCACCATTCTGAGCACTTTTTAAGTGATTTTGGCCATTTTTGGACCAAAATTGTCAAAAGTAAAAAATCATAAAAAGAATTATCGTAAGGTGATTAGGCTTAGCTACCTGGAATTTTTCAAAAAGTGAACCCCCTTGGCAAATCCAGGCTATGGGCCTGCAAGTTATATATTGTACATTTTGAGTGATGGAATCAATTTTCTTCACAAAAATTCATATGTAGTCAAAAGCAGATTATGTTTGAAGGTTTAATGTATTTTCAGAGACATCCTCATTAACCCAAATGAAGGGTATCCTGACACATGCCTTCAGCTTGCCTGGAGAATTTGATATCAAACTGACCATATGTAACCATGTGAATCAGCAATCCAAGTCAATTTCTGTAGAAGTCCATGAGCGATTGGAATCATTTGATCTTCAGGTTCTTAGGGAAAGTTCAAGCCATAACTGTGGTTTGTCAATTCAACCTTCAGTGAAACAGTCCTTGTTTGGTTCTATATTGGAGACATATCCAACTGGATGTGTGCTAACATTCAAAGCATATGACTCTACACAAGGAGCATCGAAATATAAGTACACCATACTGAAACTTGTGAATTTTGCTGATACAGTTAGTGGGGATAAAAGTGCTGAGCTTGTGACACAGATTGAGACACAGAGTAGCATACGACATGCGTTCACATCCCCTGGATTATTCTTCATACACTGTATTGTTTACACGGGGGATTATACATTTAAATCTGGGTATGTCGTTGTGGACATATACCCTACTTTAGATATTTCCCTGACCCAGGTTTACTATGGAGAAACCTACGAAATTGATGAAATAGATTATCTTAAACTTGGTGAATCTATCGATATGGAATGTAAATTGGATTATGATGCAAGCAAATTCACAAATGATGTTGTATATACATTCTATATTCTTGAAACAAGTTCCCCATTATCATATATTGATATTGTTAAAAGGAAAGAGGATGGAGAATCAGATAATGATATTGGGATTGTCCAGTATAATTTGAATTTAAATAGTGCAACTCAAATGCAAACATTAACTTTGGATAAGACAGGGAACTATACCTCAGCATGCAAAACTGTGGACCCAAATACAGAAGCAACACTTATAAACAGCAAGAGTTTCCAGGCAAAGAAACCAACAGAAGGGCTGTACCTCATCAGCAGTAGCCCAGTGGAATATGGATCTGATGTTGAGTTTATTTTATTCGCTCAAGAAGTCGGAATGAAATCTTCATTTACCGTTCAATACTCTGACCCCTCAAGCAATGGCAACTCCCCAGAGGCTATACCCACTCTATCGCAGAACCAAAACATCAGTTCCCAAATTTCCGCCATGGTGGATCTCCCATTTGATCCTTCAACTAGTTACAGTTCAGTGTTCAGACACAACTACACTCTACCAGGCTCTTATATTGTAAATGTGACTATACAGGAAGATATAGGAGTACAGTTTATAGGCACTCAAGCTGTGGTGATGACAGTGATTTGTCACCTGCCAGATATTTCTATACAAGGTGGAGGTAAGTTTATGTAAACTCTACCAGGCTCTTATGTTGTTAATGTGACCATAGAGGAAGATATAGGAGAACAGTACATAGACACTCAAGCTGTGGTGATGACAGTGATCTGTCACCTGCCAGATGTTCCTATACAAGGTGGAGGTAAGTTTATGTAAACTCTACCATGCTCTTATATATAGTAAATGTGACCATACAGGAAGATAAAGGAGTACAGTTTATAGGCACTCAAGCTGTGGTGATGACAGTGATCTGTCACCTGCCAGATGTTTCTATACAAGGTGGAGGTAAGTTTATGTAAACTCTACCATGCTCTTATATATAGTAAATGTGACCATACAGGAAGATATAGGAGTACAGTTTATAGGCACTCAAGCTGTGGTGATGACAGTGATCTGTCACCTGCCAGATGTTTCTATACAAGGTGGAGGTAAGTTAATGTAAACTCTACCATGCTCTTATATATTGTAAATGTGACCATACAGGAAGATATAGGAGTACAGTTTATAGACACTCAAGCTGTGGTGATGACAGTGATCTGTCACCTGCCAGATGTTTCTATACAAGGTGGAGGTAAGTTAATGTAAACTCTACCATGCTCTTATATATTGTAAATGTGACCATACAGGAAGATAAAGGAGTACAGTTTATAGGCACTCAAGCTGTGGTGATGACAGTGATCTGTCACCTGCCAGATGTTTCTATACAAGGTGGAGGTAAGTTAATGTAAACTCTACCATGCTCTTATATTGTAAATGTGACCATACAGGAAGATATAGGAGTACAGTATATAGGCACTCAAGCTGTGGTGATGACAGTGATCTGTCACCTGCCAGATGTTTCTATACAAGGTGGAGGTAAGTTAATGTAAACTCTACCATGCTCTTATATATAGTAAATGTGACCATACAGGAAGATAAAGGAGTACAGTTTATAGGCACTCAAGCTGTGGTGATGACAGTGATCTGTCACCTGCCAGATGTTTCTATACAAGGTGGAGGTAAGTTAATGTAAACTCTACCATGCTCTTATATATAGTAAATGTGACTATACAGGAAGATATAGGAGTACAGTATATAGGCATTCAAGCTGTGGTGATGACAGTGATCTGTCACCTGCCAGATGTTTCTATACAAGGTGGAGGTAAGTTTATGTAAACTCTACCAGGCTCTTATATTGTAAATGTGACCATACAGGAAGATATAGGAGTACAGTTTATAGACACTCAAGCTGTGGTGATGACAGTGATCTGTCACCTGCCAGATGTTTCTATACAAGGTGAAGGTAAGTTAATGTAAACACTACCATGCTCTTATATTGTAAATGTGACCATACAGGAAGATATAGGAGTACAGTATATAGGCACTCAAGCTGTGGTGATGACAGTGATCTGTCACCTGCCAGATGTTTCTATACAAGGTGGAGGTAAGTTTATGTAAACTCTACCATGCTCTTATATTGTAAATGTGACCATACAGGAAGATATAGGAATACAGTATATAGGCACTCAAGCTGTGGTGATGACAGTGATCTGTCACCTGCCAGATGTTTCTATACAAGGTGGAGGTAAGTTAATGTAAACTCTACCATGCTCTTATATATAGTAAATGTGACCATACAGGAAGATAAAGGAGTACAGTTTATAGGCACTCAAGCTGTGGTGATGACAGTGATCTGTCACCTGCCAGATGTTTCTATACAAGGTGGAGGTAAGTTAATGTAAACTCTACCATGCTCTTATATATTGTAAATGTGACCATACAGGAAGATATAGGAGTACAGTATATAGACACTCAAGCTGTGGTGATGACAGTGATCTGTCACCTGCCAGATGTTTCTATACAAGGTGGAGGTAAGTTAATGTAAACTCTACCATGCTCTTATATTGTAAATGTGACCATACAGGAAGATATAGGAGTACAGTATATAGGCACTCAAGCTGTGGTGATGACAGTGATCTGTCACCTGCCAGATGTTTCTATACAAGGTGGAGGTAAGTTAAAAACATGTAACAAAAGCCATGGGCTTTACCAAGTTCAACTTTTTCTATTGTACAGGATACCATTGATGGATGGATTTATTCCCAGGTGTACAATTTTACCCATTATGCTTATTATAGACAAGTGGCAGAAACCCAAAAAATGTAAAAACATATATTTTCAAGTTTGACATTTAGAATTACATTTAGCTAAATGCTTATGTTTGGCTCTATCTAGTCTGTCCTATTTTATGTCAAATACATTTATTTCATTTCTTGATTAAAGGGGAAACAAGACAAGATGCCGTTCAGTATGTGACATCACAGAGCATACAACTGATATCTAACTTAAAGACAGACTGTTCCATTGCCTCAAGGGCAACATTCCATTGGAAAGCCTTTCGCATTAGGTACATTTATTTAGTACATACTTAACAATACAAAATATGGACTCACCTATGGTCTATACTACATGTACAGGGTGTCAAATAAGTCCTGTCCCCCCCTCTACAGCCAAAACCAAGATATATGGTACCAAGTGTGATATATCATTGGAAAGATCTTCGAAAGTTACGTTGATTAGCATATATCCGACACATGTCAATCATTGTATGTCATTTTACATTGTATCAATTGAGGTGACCATAGGCCCAGAAACATGGCAATTTGATGTATTTTGCAGGATTTTAAGAATCGTGTGTAAGAAAAGTTATAGGACCTGAAGATGACTACATATGTAAATGGCAATAAATTTAACCAATCTCTGGGTCGGGTTGGATGTGTAGAAAATAGAGGTGCAAGTAAAGTGGTGAAAACCTTTTTGTAACAAGTAGAATGTGAATAAGGTTAACTTTTTGACATATTTCTGAGGTCATATCCTTTTTTTGACGCAAAAAAGCTACTTAAATGAGGGTACGCTAAATATAAAGGACATCATGAAAATATAGGTGAATTTCATCCAAAATACTTGAGAGTTGACGAGTTTAAAGCTTTGGATGATCTTTCCAATGGTATATCAGACTAGGTACCATCTATTAAGGTTTTAGCTGTAGCAGGGGGGACGGGACTTATTTGACACCCTGTATATATACTGTACAATGAGGGATTTCAAGTAGGAGTGTAATCATTGAATAAAAGACTAAGTAAATCTTGAGTTTAATTTTTTTTTAAAACTACAAAACACAAAATTGCCAAATCTGACAAATGGCAAATTATAAAAAATATTTGCCAGTTTCTTAACTTTTGAATTTTCATCGTTCTGGAGCTGTATTTTTTATTATATAATAATTAACTGTACTTCATCAAAATCAAATCGCTGGTGTAATGATTTTTGGATGGCCTTCTAGAATCAAGGAGGATTGGCTCCCAGGATTGAAACTCAATATTATCCAACAATGAAAATGTCAAAATGTTGTTATTTTCTGAAATTATAACCCACTATAAATTCAAAGTAAACAGTTCAAATGATTCGAATTTCGAACTAATATATCGATCATTTCTTGTGAGTTTTGGAATTTTCTTTTGGTAATAAATTCATGATTCAAATGTTGAAGTAAACAAAATGTTGGCTGTTTAAATTCGAATTTTGTATCACGACATGCTCATATATGGGACAGAATATCGATGTTGCACTCTGGGAGTCAATCCTCCTTTATCTAGAATTCTAGTAATCAGTATGGATTTCTAATTTTTCATGTCATTTCTGCTTTCTTGATGGCGTGATCTTGTTCACACAAAGCTTTGTTTTCTAACATTATAGAGCATTACATCATAAAGAAGTAACGCTACCAGAAACAGTGGACACCTCATTAACTACAATTGTGCTGCCCCAGTTTGCTCTTCCCTATGGGGTAGGGTGGCTCAAAATAATTTTTTTTTGGAAATGTTATGCTCCCTACGTGAATCGAGTTGCATTTTGGGGTAAATATCACCTGTGATTTTTTTCAAATTTTTTAGTCAACTTTTAGGGGTCCCCCACAGCCTTTGAAGTTTGCCCATAGGCTTAACATTAGTGGGCGTCGCCCAAAATCGTACTTTATAGAAGCTTTTTTTCTAGTGATTTACTTATGTTGTTTGAAGAAAACCAACATTGTATATGATATGATTAGATGTTTAAATCATCATATTACTCTGTTTCATCATGTGAACTTATATAAAAGACTATACTGACAATATCCTATTAACAAAATATCAGGTACATTCGACCAGTATAATTATTTGAACAAGTACAGTTTTAGAGAATCCTGTCTCATATATGATTTGGTACTGTCATTATAATGGTTTAAACTATAAAAGGTATATTCGTATGTGACATTTGATGTTTTAAACATGGTTCAGATGTGACACTCTTCCTCTATGATATGAGCGTACAACACATACATTGTCACGATGCGCCACATCATGGGTCATTTGAGAGCATTCCTGTACCAGCTTCACTGCTCATTCAGCTGGATCATTAACAGAATGCAGGTCTTGACAGAAATTTTATCGCCAGTAGACCTTGACATAGAAAACGCAGCTCTTCGCAGTGTAAGACGCCATCTATGATTAACCTCTGCCCTGAATTAGTTGTTTTGTCCCTATTCGACAAATACACTGCAAGAGAGGAGAAGCAGGAGCTTGCTACAGCACTGCTCAACATCCCACGGCCTGTACAATTTGCAACTGGCAAACCAGGACAGCCTGACTTTAACCCAGTTGCTGCTCACTTAGGCAATGTTAAACCATCACTAGCAATGTTTGTAACTGAGAGATCTAATGGCTCTTATTTCACCTCCTGGAATCAGATCCAATTATATGGCTTCAAGAGAATCCAGTTGCATGGCATACTTATCCAACTTCAAACCCAGAATTTCTGTCAAGACCTGCATTCTGTTAATAATGATCCAGCTGCATGAACAAGCAGTGAAGCTGGTACAGGAATGCTCTCCAATGACCTGTGACGCGGTGCATCGTGACAATGTATGTGTTGTACGCTCAGATCATAGAGGAAGAGTGTCACATATAATAAAAACTGATCTGGACCATGTTTCAAACATTAAATGTCAAGAATGAAAATATACCTTTTACAGTTTAAACCATTATAATGACAATACCAAATCATATATGAGACATGATTCTCCAAAACGGTACTTGTTCAAATAATTATACTGGTTGAATGTACCTGATATTTTGTTAATAGGATATTGTAAGTATAGCCTTTTATATAAGTTCACATGATGAAACAGAGTACTATGATGATTTAAACATCTAATCATATCATATACAATGTTGTTTTTCTTCAAACAACATAAATAAATCACTAGAAAAAAAGCTTCTATAAAGTACGATTTTGGGCGACGCCCACTAATGTTAAGCCTATGGGCAAACTTCAAAGGCTGTGGGGGACCCCTAAAAGTTGACTAAAAAATTTGAAAAAAATCACAGGTGATATTTACCCCAAAATGCAACTCGATTCATGTAGGGAGCATAACATTTCCAAAAAAAAATTATTTTGAGCCACCCTACTATGGGGTTTACCTTTTGGAGTTCAAGGTACATTTATACTAATTGTTTGAAAATCACTTTATAAAATGAAATACAATTATTAAAGTAATGAAGGATGCTTTGATCCATATATACTTTTGCTGCTTTAAAAATGTAAATTTCTTTTTCTACTGATGAAGGCATAGATAAAAAATAGATAAACTTAAATAAATAATATCTATAATTTTTAAGTTACATCTGAACATAGGGCATTACACCTTTTAATGCCTATTTTGTTGGATTTTGTTAAATTCTTTAGGCAGTTAAGTGTTCTATTAACATGTAGGCCTGTATTTCAAATTGTTAAAAAAGTCATCCAAGTCTACCAATGTAGGAGTCTGGGGTCTTGGGAGATATACATATTTCCCTTGGGATAAACCCTGTATCCAAAATCTCGCAGTACATAACCCTTATGTATATGCATTTCTTGAATAGGTTCAGCTGGTAACAAACCCAGGGCTAGATCTCAGTGTTTATAGTGTGGGGCAAACGTGGCTTGAAATTGTCCCAGCTCCTTTACAGGCAAAGATTGTAGGAGGTAGTGCCAGAGTTGTGGGTAAGTACCATTTGCAAGAATTTGATTTCATCTGCACTCTTTAATAACAAAGTGATTTAGTTTTGCAATATTTTGATTTATCATGTAAATCTTTTTCAAGCAAATCAAAAAAGATTGAAAAAGATTTACATATTACAATGATCAGTAAAACCTGTGTTGGTGAACATTTTTTTGGCAAAACCTTTTTATCCCATTGACTCCCATGTTAAAGTACAATCCTATAGTGAACACATATGTTTAATCTTTTTTTGTGGACTTTTTTAATTGAAGATAATTTTTCCATGTAAACCAAATCTTGAAGAGATGTATTAAAAAATCATATTTCTGCATTTTCTTCAGTAGAACCTATGTAATCTGAATACTTCTTGGACCTGGAGTGTTTGGATTATCAGGGGTTTACTTATCAACTAAAAGATGAGAATGAAAACTGTTTATCCCTATATTTTATGCTGCATATTTCTTTCAATTTTGGGAAGCTACAGCTGCCATACGGTTGCCATAAATCAAATGTGACTGGAAGATAATGGAAGATGTGGAAGATAATGATAATTGATATCCAATGTTTTTATCCCACCGAACGAAGTTCGAGGGGGATATAGAAAAGCCGTCCAATCGTCTGTCCGTTTGTCCATCCGTTCATCCATCCGTTCATCCCTCCGTTCGTGTGTCCGGGCAATAACTCAAATACCGGTGGACGGATTTCATTCAAATTTTATAGGCTTATGCCTTATGGGTGTAGGACCTCAGTTCGAGAAGGAATTTTCAATATGGCCACTAAATCTAAAATGGCTTTTCGGAAAAAGATATAATCTTTGATAACTCAAATACTAGTTGATGAATTTGGTTCAAATTTTATATGCTGTTGTCTGGGTACAAAAGCCTTGCTCAAGAAGACATTTTCAAGATGGCCACCAAATTTCAAAATGGTGGCCATTTTTCGTAAAAAAAACGTTATCTTTGATAACTCAAATACCATTCAATGCATTTGGTTCAAATTTTACATGCTGATGCCTAGAGACAAAGAAGTTCTGCTCAAGAAGACATTTTCAAGATGGCCACTGAATTTCAAAATGGCCGCCATTTTTTCGTAAAAAAATGTAGTCATTGATAACTCAAATACCAGTGGATGGATTTGGCTCCAATTTTATATGCTGATGTTTAGGGAAAAAGGAGATCTGCTTTAGAAGAAATTTCAAAGGCGTCAGCTGAATTTAAAAATGGCTGCCATTTTTCATAAAAAAGGTAATCTTTGATAACTCAAATACCATTGGACGATTTTACTTCAAATTTTATATACTGATGCCTAGAGATAAAGGAGCTCTGCTTGAGAAGAAATTTTCAAGGTGGCTGCTATTTATCAAAATCTCTGCCATTTTTCATTAAACATGTAATCCTAGATAAATCAAGTACCAGTTGACGGATTTTGATTAAATTCTATATGCTGATGCCTTGGGACATAGGAGCTCTGCTAAAGAAGAAATCTAAAGATGACAGCTGAATTTCAAAATGGCAACCAACCATGTTTCATAAAAACATAACTTTTGATAATTCAAATACCAGTGGATGGATTTGGCTCAAATTTTATATGGCCGCTATTTATCAAAACATGTTTTGTTCGGTGGGATTTGCTACTCCGTGGAGTTGCTGTTTTTCTAGTATTTTCTGATTCATGATTTCAGGTTACAACAAAGATATAACTCTCGATGCAAGTAGATCATTTGATCCAGACCTTGCTCCTACAACTTACAAAAGGCTGCTGGATTACACTTGGTTCTGTCGTCGTGAACTTGAAACATTTCCGACAAATTGGACTATGTACAATATGACCTCTGGAGGTAGAGAGGGCTATATTTTAAAGAGAAACTGTAAACTATTATTTGTAACAGGCTAGTTGAACAGTAGACATTATTCCTAAATATTCATTTTAGAAAGGGAATCTTTAAAAAGCGTATCATTTAATTTAAAAAACAAATCCAATTCCCTATAAATCATTACAAACTGCTTCAAAAATTTTTAATATCAAGTATATATTGTAATATGTACAAATGTATAACAATATGTACATAGACTATCTGAGTAATAAGTTGAAATTGATAGGAAGTAGTAGTAAAATTTTGGTAATAGGTTTGTGCTACTGTATCCTACCCAGTCCCACTCCTGTCAACTCTATTCTCCCATGAGTCAATTGATCACATGATACATATAAACCAATGAAAATGCAGTAAATAATCTAAATATATTTCAGGGTGTTTTAATAATGGATTTGTGCTACCCTACACTAGTTCAATCCTCCACCTCGATTCATCAAACTTCACCCCAGATCAGCCCTATATATTTGAGGTGGAAGTTTCACAGAATGATCGATCCCCTTCACGCGCTACTCAGAGCATCACTGTGATATCAGGTGACCCACCACAGCTTGAGATAACGTGTCATATAAACTGTGTAGCATTTATCAATCCCAAAGAGAGACTTGCTCTGCGGGTCGCATGTACAACTTGTGAGGAGGCTGACATTCTTAAATACTCCTGGGAAATTATGCAAAATGGCGAGAAAATTGAAGATTTTGATTGGACAGTGGATACATTGACAGGACGGGACAAAAGCAGTTTGGTGTTTGTAGCTGGACTATTTGGAATTACTGGAGAAGAGACATACACTCTGAAAGTAACAGGTTAGAACTAAAAAATTGCACAAATTTTTTCTGAATTAAAATTTTCATTTGAAGTCAGCATAAGGGAAAGTGGGAGAGTTGTCTCCTTCTGTAAGATATTTTAAGAAATGGCAACTGACACATTTCCTTTCTTTTGAAATGTAAAATGAATGCTAAACCTCTTGACTACCCAGAGTGATGAGATTTCTCGTCACCTCAGAAATGACTGAAACCCAGAGTGACGAGATAATCCGTCACAAAATTTTTCACTAAAATTGCTCTTATTTGAACAATTTTAATCCAATTTACACAAAAATTGTTTTAAAATGTCTAGAAATGATCTCTGCCGTCTAATTTTACTAAATTGAACATCGTCTGTTATATGTATGTAGTAAAATGTCAAAAGCTGGCAAAAATGAAAAATTATCTGGTTTCAACCTATTTTAGAACCTGGGATTCAAGAGGTTAATAAAGTAACCGCATCATAGAGAGAATTTTAGGAAAAATAAAAAAATTATTTTGAGTAAACTCAAAATATTTGACAAAATTGGACTTAGAGATAATTCATACATTTGTAGCTTTAGGATCCAGTGGTTCTCCAGGTTATTCTCAGTATACATTCACCACCAACCAACCCCCAGTTGCTGGCAGTTGTTCAGTACAACCTTCAAGTGGCTATGTCTTACAGACCAAGTTCAACCTCACTTGTTCAGGTTTTTCTGATGCTAACACACCTCTCACATATGGATTGTTCGCCCTCAGAGATAAAGGCTACAAAAATCAAACAGGTAAGTCAAGTAGCAGCTGCATATCTATATACAGTAAAACCTGTGTTAATGGAACACACTCATCACTAGCCAAAATGGTGTTTTCAATGCCTGAGTCAATTTGCTCCGATTCATCAGCCGGTGCCTGGCTGATCGAGTATTTTGTTCAAAACTGAATACAATCTTAAACAAAATACTCAATCATCCAGCCGCCAGCCAATATATATCGGAGCAAATGTGACTCAGACATTACAGAGAGGGTTGGCTAATATGTTAGCCAGTGGGTCTGATTCTTTTGAAAACTGTTACATAGAGAGAAGTGTCCCTTATTCAGAGGTGTTCCATCAGACAAGTTTTACTACATCCATGTATTGATAACAGCTGAAATAAATATTTGAATATGGATTTGATATCTGGATTTAATATTTTCTAGAGGAGCTACTAATGCATGGTACAAATCCAACAGTGAGTGGTATCTATCTTCCTATGGGGCACCCTAGCAGAGGTTATATTCTGGACATGTCTGTCAGAGTGGAAGATGCTTATGGGGCAGCCACAGAGGTGTTTCTCGATGCTACTGTAAGTAAGAGTGAGATATACCATATCATAACATTATCTAACAAAGTTTTTTGGAGTTTTTATCACCTTTTCCAAAGTGCAATATTGTCATTCTCTAAAGCTGGTGGGCATGCATTGCATCTGTCTTTCTTTACAGGCAGCCATTCACCACTTAAATCATATCATCGTAAATTTCAAGAAAACTGCTGTTGTTTTCAGCTAGAAATTTTAACAAACGCAATAGCAGACTTGTGCCAAGATCTGATTAGTTTTTGGGCATGCTAGGTTAAAATACTTGAGGGCCATTTTTGAATTTTTCAATAAAAAGTCGATATGTAACTATATGTGTCTTGTTATGAAACCACCACCAAGTGGAGATATATTATAGTCTTCAACTTTTTTGTGGCAGCAGTTGGTGTTCGTTGGTTGGTGTTCGTTGGTTGGTGTTTGGCATTTGTTACAACTGGCAGTCTAAAAAATGGTGACACTGCATGTTAATGCTTTGTATAATATTATTACATATCTGAACAGTAATTTGTGAAATTACCTCCCATCCTTATTCCTTAATCATTGTAAACATCTGAACTCCAGGTTCAAAAGGCTTCTGTGTCCCTGGCCAATTTAACAACTGGTGAAAACTCTGTGCTTGATCTGTTGATGAAGACTGGAGACGACCAGGGTGTGACAAGGTTGATCAGCAGTGTAGGGACATTATTGAATGAAGAGAGTAAGTCTGGGATGGAAGATGACCTGAATCCTGAGGAAAGAAAGGAGTTGAAACAGCAAAGATCAAAGGTATGTTTTGTGCTTATGTAGCAACTTGGAAAATGATTCTTTGTGCATTTTTATTTAAATAATGTAGATAGAAGGCCTAGTAGATGGAAATCAAACTGTTATATGTTGATTTAATTTTTCAAAGTCATGTATTCATACTTCATAGAAGAGCAGAGTTCACAACTAAAAGGTTGATTTTGATTGCCAAAAGTCAACATATATTGGTACATTCAGTTCTTTGCCCAATATGCAACTGCTTTCCAAATCAATTACCAAGAGTGACAACTGGTTGCCATTGGCAGTCAGGCAACTGTCAACTGGTTGCCATTGGCAGTCAGGCAGCTGTGTCAACTGGTTACCATTGGCAGTCAGGCAGCTGTGTCAACTGGTTACCATTGGCAGTCAGGCAGCTGTGTCAACTGGTTACCATTGGCAGTCAGGCAGCTGTGTCAACTGGTTGCCATTGGCAGTCAGGCAGCTGTGTCAACTGGTTTCCATTAGCAGTCAGGCAGCTGTGTCAACTGGCTACCATTGGCAATCAGGCAGCTGTGTCAACTGGTTACCATTGGCAGTCAGGCAGCTGTGTCAACTGGTTTCCATTAGCAGTCAGGCAGCTGTGTCAACTGGCTACCATTGGCAATCAGGCAGCTGTGTCAACTGGCTACCATTGGCAATCAGGCAGCTGTGTCAACTGGCTACCATTGGCAATCAGGCAGCTGTGTCAACTGGTTTCCATTAGCAGTCAGGCAGCTGTGTCAACTGGTTGCCATTGGCAATCAGGCAGCTGAGATAATGAAACCCTGTAGAAAAATAAGCCCATGATAAAATCTTTTGGTTAAATATATTTTGAGTCTGGGGCGGAACATGCTCTGAATCTTGAGTAAGGATTTAGATAACTGAAAAGTTAGCCCATAATAAATTTTTTGGGTAAAATATACATTATGTTTTAAGTTAAGATCAGCAATGGTGGAGAACCTCAGCCAAGTGAAGGTACAATCTTTAGCGTCCCTTCAGCAGTCATCTACGGCTATTTCCGCTATTACCAAAGAGTCATCGGAACTCACTAAAGATACTCAGAAGAAGGCAGCTCTTGCAGTGAAAGATATGGCGGCATTTTTACGAACTTCAGCTACCTCTGGAATCTCCAGTAAAGAGGGAATCGATGGGGCTGCTAGGTTAGTTACGTGTAGTTACCTAAGTAAACAATTTTGTAAATGAAATAAAACAAAAAATGTTGTTTGAACTCTCTTGCTCATTTCATATCATTTTTCAGTCAAATAAATTATCATACCCAATTTAATATATCGTAATACTAATGATATTTTCCATTCCATGAGATCTCTCGACAATTCTAATCTGTTGAAGGGATCTGATTTAACATGTACAGTGAAACCTCTAAAGTGGAACGCCTCTCAAGTGGAACATTTTTATTAGAGTTATCAAAGGTATTCCACTTAGATGGATTCTAGCGTATGTACACATAGTTGAATTTGAATTGAATGATGTATCTTTCCTACACCCCTCATAGGAATTTAGTGTCAGGGCTGGATAATCTACTAGATGCTGTGATCTCTAAAACGTCAGAAAATGACACTGACATATTGGGTGAACATAACACTACACAACCAGAGCAGCATGAGGAGGTGTTATAGCTTATAGCTTATAAGTGATCATATCATATAATCATATTTAAGTCAGGGGTGTAGCCAGGGTCTGAATAAGTGAGGCAAATTTGAAAAGGCGAAGCAAAACTGAAACCAAAAAGGATATTGTACATATAGATCGATGAGACATACCGCATTCTCTTTAATTAACGCTCATGAGGCTTAGAAAATTCAAAATGTGTTGTTCAGACCATTCTAATAATTTCAATCTTTATATTTATTAATGTTTGGCCTCAATGTTCCTTGAAATTTGCAAAACAGGATGAGTGCTTATTGGGGGTGGGCCCTTATTACCATTTGAGGGATTCATCTGAAATTTTCAGGGATGTTTCTACATATCAACGTCAAGAACTGATTAGTTTTTGGGCATTCTGGGTAAATTTTAAGGTGGCCATTTTGGATTTTCCATCCTAAAATCTTCACTTTCAAGACTTGTCTACAGGTTTCCAGCCAAACCATTTGAGGGATTCATCTGAAATTTTCAGGGATGTTTCTACGTATCAATGTCAAGAACTGATTAGTTTTTGGCCATTGTGACTAAATTTTAAGGTGGCCATTTTGGATTTTCCGTCCTAAAATCTTCACTTTCAAGACTTGTCTACAGGTTTCCAGCCAAACCGTTCAAATTTTTACATATGTTACACAGTGATAAGTTCTAGAGCTGATTAACTTTTCTGCGGTCATCTTGCTTTCTTGGTCAACAAGACCACAATGCTGTGTTTTAGGTACGATATTGTTCACGTCTGTGCCTTGTTTATTAAAGGTATCAAAGGTGTTCCACTTAGATGGATTCTAGCATATGTACAAATAGTTGAATTTGAATTGAATGATGTATCTTTCATACACCCCTTATAGGAATTTAGTGTCAGGGCTGGATAATCTACTAGATGCTGTGATCTCTAAAACATCAGAAAATGACACTGACATATTGGGTGAACATAACACTACACAACCAGAGCAACACGAGGAGGTGTTATAGCTTAATAGCTTATAAGTGATATCATATAATCATATTTAAGTCAGGGGTGTAGCCAGGGTCCGAATTAGGGAGGCAAATTTGAAAAGAGGAAGCAAAACTGAAACCAAAAAGGATATTGTACATATACATCGATGAGACATACCGCATTCTCTTTAATTAACGCTCATGAGGCTTAGAAAATTCAAAATGTTTTGTATAGACCGTTCTAATAATTTCAATCTGTATATTTATCAATATTTGGCCTCGATATTCCTTGAAATTTGCAAAGCAGGGTGAGTGCTTATTGGGGGTGGGCCCTTATTACAGAGAATATGGTAGTTTTAAAAGTTTGAGCTAAAAAGGGCTAAAATATAATTTTCTGAGTTGAGAAAAGGCTAAATGTATTTCTCTGTAAAATTTTTGCAAGGCCTGTTTCATACCTAGCTACGCCTACTCTATGTTATTGTTCCATGTTAAAACCTTAGAAACAATAAGAGGATAAACCTCAAGCAGTCAATTGGTTGACTCAGGCTGCTTTTTTGAACTGCCCACAGTGCAAGTATATTGCATAATATTTAATAAGTTTTCCCAACAAGTCCCTGCATTGCAATTTGCAAATTACATGCTCACATGTTTTCAACAAAAACAGCTCATCCAAGCGCACTTAAACCTCTAATTATGCTGTGGCAACCTTGTCGGCTGCTCGCGAGTGTAAACTGCGCCGGATCGATCCTAGTGCACCACAGGAGTTCCACTGCAATAAACCATGAGGTCTTTCAAAGGATTATGTGAGTTTAGATGCGCTTGGATAAGATTTTTTTGTTGAAAACGTGTGGCCATGTAATTTTCAATGCAAGGACTCATTGTTCTTTTTCATGATACCTAGGGGGAAAACTTATTTAACATTATCACTCTACTATACCTTGCATTTGGTGTTCATGAGCAACCCATTTGGCTTATTAGTAATGATTATGTATTTGTTTTTATTTGTCTGTTCCTTATGAATGGTTTATCGGTTGAAAATTAGATGCTAGTAGGGCACTTTCAAAAATATACTAAACAATACAATTGGACAAACAAAGTATCTTATGCATTTCTAGGTGTTAGGTATAGTAGTGTGATTATGCAATGCAATAAACTTGCGGCGTGGGCAGTTCAAAAAAGCAGCCTCAGTCTATGTTAGTGGCTCCCACAGTGAGTCTATGGGATCGACTAGTTCTAATTAAGTAAGGTAGATATACAAAATGTTTAGCACACATGTACCTTTATTATGTCACCAGCAGAAGTGCATAATACTTTTGCATGTTAATGCCTTGTATAGTATTGTTTTTTCATGTGTTGAATAAAGTAGAGAAATTATTCTGACTCATTCCCAGTCTGTTATTTTTTTCATAACTGAGGTCTCTCAAAAGTGTGCAAAATGCATTCTAATACATTGGCCAGTAAATCCTCCAATACAATCCTCCAGTTTCTCATACTGAAATGACATTATATATTTTACATATTTGATTCTCCATACAATTTGCTCTGGAGAACTACATGTGCTGATATGTATATAACTGTTAAATTAATGTTTTCAGAACCGTAATATCACCACGGCAACATTATCTGCCCTGGATGACATCAAATCTGCAGTTTTAGGAGCCAAACTTCCGGGAGAATCACCCACCATTTTAAACACAGACTCTTTCTCAGTTGCTGTCAACAGGCAGTTTATGTCACAGATAGATGGAGCCAATGCGCAGGCAAACCAAGATGGCGGAGGGTTTGTGTTGCCAACAGGAGGTGCGATTATGTCGCTTATTGGAAGTGGCGTAGAATCTTTTGATACTGAGGTATTATACTCCAAATTCAATTTTTCCCCATGTAAAGCTAAAATTCTATCGAATAACTTTACTAGCCATGCAGCTGGAAAATTCTATTAAGTTTTGTCATCCAACTTGCATTATTTGAAAAACGATTACTGGTATAGTTATTTCAAAGGTTTTATTTAAAATGCCTATTTATAATGCAATGGCTTCTGCACCATTCAAAGGCTTGTGTAAGATCTCCCACATCAGATGGGGTTTGGCTTTCAACAAGAAAATTGAGCTGTCTAATTCCCTACCCTGTAGGCAACCTAGTTTACTTTTCCACCTTTGGATCAATTATATTATAGCTACTGTATACTAGTCAAAGTTCCGTTTACTCGGAATATGCTCCCAGGACAAAATCAAAATTCCACCCTCTTGGACAATACAGAATGTTAATTCCTGACCCTCCCTGTTTTGGGAGAGGGTTACTCAAATCTTTCAATGGTGTTAAATCTTTTAGTCATATGAAATGAATTAATTAATTTTCAATTCCGATGCATGTTTTTTTATTCATAATTTAAATGTAGTAAATGGATTTTCAGGTTGTAGATTTCAAGGCGAACCCTTTTGTTTGGGCCAACAATAGTAACAGTGTCACATCAGGTGTATCAAAACTTGATTTGAAGATAGATGGGGCTACTTTAGCAGTCACAAATCTCAGTGAACCATTCAGCATTACATCTACCTTAAAAATCTTTTAGTCATATGATATGGATTTTCAATTCAGATGCATGATTTTTTCTTCATAATTTATATGTAGTTTTATGGATTTTCAGGTTGTAGATTTCAAGGCGAACCCTTTTGTTTGGGCCAACAACAGTAACAGTGTCACATCAGGTGTATCAAAGCTTGATTTGAAGATAGATGGGGCCACTTTAGCTGTCACAAATCTCAGTGAACCAATCAGCATCTACCTTACAAATCCTACCAAGATTCAACCAATTGCAGGAGGCATTACAAAACTTGCATGGACAAATCTTGAATTCAATGTTTCAAGCATGGATACTTCAATAACCATTGTATTTGAATGTTCCAATGCTGCTGACATTTCTTCAGTCGATGTAGACGCAACTTTAGATGTTTATGTGGGGTCTGATTTTAACTCAACGCCAGAAAATTTCACATACAAAACAGATGTCATACTTGGTGATATTCTGTCGAGTGATCAGGGTTTCTATAGTTTAGTGATACCTGTTATGTCACTAAATGGAACTGGATCGTATAGTGCTGCCATCTTTTTTAATAGTTCATTATCAAACTCAGTTAATTTCATCCCATTGAATATCACCCCTGTAGAATCCAGCTGTATGTACTGGGACGCTAGCAATGACACATGGAGTAGTCTTGGCTGCAAAATCGGGACGAAATCAACTTTAACGACCACCCACTGTGAATGTACCCACCTGACCTCATTTGGAAGTACATTTTTCATCGCTCCTAACAAAATAAACTTCGCAGAGGATCTTGCGAAATTCGCAACATTCTGGGAAAATCCTACTGTGATTATACTGGTGTCAGGGCTGATGGGATTGTATGGCTTGCTGTGTGTGTGGGCCAGGAGGAAAGACAGAGAGGATGCTGAAAAGTTAGAAGTAATTAACCTTTTTTTATTAGAACTCATCAATTTGTAAAATAGTGACACTGAGTCAAAATACTAATTTTTCGTAATAATGATTTCACAAAGCCTCAGAAATTACATTACCATCTTTTTTAACCCACCTCTCTAACTACCCTAATTTTCCTGACATGACTATTATTATGTCACCACCAGAAGAGTTCTATTTTTATAGTCTTCAACTTTGTTGTGGATGGTGTTCAGTGGTTGTCAATCAGTGTTTGGTGGTTGATGGTCAGCGTTTGGTGTCTGTAACAAATTTTGCATGTTTATGCCTTGTTAGTTCTATGAAAAATGAATTGATTCTGCTCCTTACAGGCAGCTTCTCCAATCTCAATTGAACACTATAGATTACATTAAAACCATTCAGACAGCAAAACAGCATACTCTGTGATTACATCATATGGAAAGCTCTGGTGTAAAAAGCAAAGTTGGTGTGTGTTTGTAGGTGATAAACTTGGCAGATAATGACCCTTTGGCTACATATGTCTATACTGTGTTGGTAATGACTGGTGCAAGGCGGGGGGCAGGAACATCAGCCAATGTGACATTGACTCTCATAGGTATAGAAACAATTAAAGTACATTAATATGGATTTGAATTTTGTCTCAGTTTTCCTCACAACAGATTTTCCTTTTTCTATGTTTTCATTTTTTAAGAATCTTTTTTCAAAAAATGAAAAATGTCTAAAATAACAGTAATCACTTTCTAGGATATTTAGATATCATTTTTATTCACTCCTGGATCCCTTAAAATCATAAGATATTCTCATATCTTTAGGTAGTAAAGAAGAAAGCCTGCCACACTACCTTCACAGTGATAAGAGGGTTGTATGCCAACAAAGAGATGGCGATGCCTTCCAGGTGCGCTGTACAGAATTTCTTGGAGACATCACAGCTGTCAGACTCTGGCACGACAATAAGGGAGATAATCCTTCATGGTGTGTATTTTAACTCCCTCCCTCCCCTGATGCCTGCCCATATATAAAAACGTTAAAATAAGTTTATATATTTTTCTTGCTGCCCGATTTTAATGAACTGTCTGATTTTGGCCCATTTCTAGACAATTTACGATTTGTGAACTAAATATGATGTTCTACATATAATATCCCCACATATGTACATCTTGGTAAGTACATGTATTTCAAATAGCCTAAAAATTGTTGATGGTTGACATCAATGGTGGATCCTGGATATAGCTGTCACCCTGGGAGAATCCAGGTGTCCATGACAGTACAGTGAAGTAGAAACTTCACATTGGTACCTGTGACAAAGCAGGGTTGTTACAAAATATTTCAACAATTTAGCTTCATAACAAAGGATTTTGTATCTGTGTAACACCTCAGAAATCCTTTGTCACATAGCTTCGTAAAATGCTTCGTAATGAAGCAATCGAACACTACTTTGTAGCTGGTACCAATTTTAATACAGTTAAATATATAGCTTCAAATATAAAAGTTCAAACATATGTAAAGAAAATGCAGTGAAGGAGGTACCTGTTTTCAGTGCTTTACAGAAAGATAGTCTAACATTTTAAACACTACTGTAGGTATGTGAGCAAAGTCCAGGTGGAAGATATGCAGACAGGCAAAATATGGCAGATCCTGACAGATTCATGGCTAGCTATTGACATAGGAGAGGGTGTTTTGGACAAGACATTCAAAGTGGCAACAAAAAGAGATATAAAGGAATATGGACGCCTCATCAGCAGTAGAACTGCAAGGTACACTGACACTGTACATGTATTAAACAGCGGTTGTTTTTGCTAGCATGTCACATTCACTCATGGGTCAATTTGTGAATTTGAAATGTCACTAATAATTTTTATGCCACCACCAGAAGAAGTGATATATTGTTATAGTCTCAAACTTTTTTGTGAATGGAGTTTGGCAGTTGGCATTTGTAACAAATGGCAGGTGGTGACATTTTGCATGTTAATGTCTCGTCTCAATACTATTGAAACCAATGGAAGTTCCATCGGATAAATGAATTCAACAGGATATTGAATTTTTAAAAATGTGAAATTTCTCATATAGGAATGAATAATTCAGTCAGGAGTCAGGAGTAAGATGAACTTCAGACAAGCCTGAAACTGAGTGAAAAGATATATAGTATTCAACAATAAAAGTCAATGTCAGTTAATTATTTCTTCATTGATAACTCCTTATTATGGATTACAGTGGCCTAGCTGATGGTCATATTTGGTTCTCTGTGTTCAACAGACCAGCCAGGAGTACATTCACTCGTGTACAGCGCCTTTCATGTTGCATATCTCTGCTGATGTGTACCATGCTTACAAGCATCATGTTCTATGGTATATCTGAAGCTGATCCATTTGAGCAAAAGCTAGACCTGGGGTCGTTCAAGTTCACATGGACAGAGGTGCTAATAGGTACGTGCGTAATTAAGCTCACAACCAGAAGTGGTGACATATTGTTATAGTCTCCAACTTTTTTGTAAACTGTGTTTGGCTGTTGGTGTTTGGCCATGAGGCATGTTAATATATTAGTTACGCATGTTTATGTCACTACCAGAAGTGATGACATATAGTTATAGTCTCCAACCTTTTGTTTGTGGATGGTGTTTGGCCATCAGCTTTAGGGAATTGTGTGTTGATAATAGATATGCTACATAGTACTGAGTGCCTTCCACCTCACCATGAATATCATTATATTATTGGAAATAAACTAAAGAAATGTAATGAAATATAATATAAGGGGTCATGTCTTAAGTTGAGTTGGGGAGGTAAAAAGCTACATGTAGGTTTCATTATAGAAATGAGAGATATTGCCAAATGTTACGTAAACAGGATCGGGACTTAAGCCATCATTAACTTGTAAGGCATGAAACTGACCTTTACAAGGTTCAGCATAATGATATATCTTTCTTATAATATACAGGTATCCAGTCAAGCATCTTCATGTTCCCGATCAACATCCTCATAGTGCAGCTGTTCCGTTTATCTAAGCCACCCCCTGTGAAGAAAAAATCTGCCTACGAAACCATGTCTCGTGCATCAATTCAAGTCAGTCAGATTCGCAGTTTGCGGGCACTTGAAGTGAAACCCACTCAGTCTCAGATTACAAGGCCTGTATCTTTAATGGAGTCCATTGACAAATTCAAATCAAATGTGAAGTCAAGCTCAGTGCAGCTAACATCCAAAGTGTCTCAATTATTTTCCACACGTGGCGAAAGCGAAACTGACAAATCTGAATTTGATCAACATAAAGATGCAGCTAGGACTATTCACGAGCAAGAGGACGTTGATCCTAAAGTAAAGGATTCATTCAAATCATTTGGGAGTACAAGCTCAAATTGGTATTCAAATGTAACACTATCTGGTTTTTCTTCTGTAGATGAATTAAATGACAGCACCAAGACTGAGCTTGCGGATATAAAAGATGATCCTCGGACCATTTCAGATCCAGTGATGAATGACTACGATATGAAGGACTTCGATGATGTGCGAAATTCATTAATGTCAATAAGGAATCTACTTTCCTCCTCTCTACCATCTAACACTGATGTTCATGCATTAAAATCGGATGAAGTTGATGCAGGAGCCAAGAGGAAAGCTCCATTAATCAATCCCGAGTGTGAATCTGGTTCTGCTAAAAATCATCAAAAATCCAAAGACCCTGTTGATGGAGTATCAAGGAATAAATCTGTCACATTTGGAATAATGAGTCTGATCAAAAGAGTTCAGGCTGAATCTATACCAGATCCATTTGAGGATCAGTTTAAAGACTGTTATGAGGATATGAGTGTTAAAGATAGTGATGTTCACATAGAGCTAGGGAATGGCAGTCAAGGTCGCGTAAAGTCAAGGAAGAAACGATTTAGATTTCCATGGTGGTTCATCTACATAGGTTTGTATAACAGTCAGGCCTCCTAGACTTTGATTCATGTGGTTGTCAGTGCCGACGTCGCTGACTTCAATGAGGGAACTCGATGCACCAGAGGAGAAATAAGTTGGGAGAGAGGAACTGGTGGTTCGCAACTGAAGAACTGATATTCACATAGTGATATTGTGGTTCAGGTGGAAGAAACAAGGTCAGTGACGTTGAAACTGACGATTGTGTGAGTCGAAGTCTAGGAGGCCTGTACAAGTCTGATGTATTTTTATTTCATTTTTTGTTTACACAAATGTAAATTTAAGCTCAGTATATGAATATCTCTCATCTCTCTCTTTTTGTATTGTGTTTTTATGTCCATAACATGTTTGTTTAGCTTGTAGTATATTTATACATTCTCAAAATCGCACTATGGTTTTATCTATATTTTCTTACATGTATTTCAGGCTGGGTGCTTGTTATTCTGACCACCCTCAGCACAGGGTTCTTTATCATGTTATACAGTATGAGTTATGGTAGTAAGCGTACTGTTGAGTGGTTATGCTCTATAGCTGTATCGATTACCCAGAGTGTTTTCTTAGAGCAACCCATCAAGGTAGGCCATAGATTCGAATCTCAGGCTGGGTGCTATTTATTCTGATCACCCTAAGCACAGGGTTCTTTATCATGTTATACAGTATGAGTTATGGTAGTAAGCGTACGGTTGAGTGGTTATGCTCTATAGCTGTGTCAATTACCCAGAGTGTTTTCTTAGAGCAACCCATCAAGGTAGGACATAGATCCCAATACCAGAAAAATGCTCTGCCTGAGAATTTGAGAAAGAGTGAGTCAGATGATGTTTGTGGCTATGAGTGATATGTGTGTCTATGTTTCCAGGTGATATGTGTGGCTGTAGTGTTAAGTCTGATCTTTAAGAAGCCAGAGGAAGAGGAGGAGATAGATCTTCAGTACCAGCCACAATGGACAGTGCCCAGTAAGTGCAGACCCTTAGCCAGCTTTTGCCAGGTGTTCAGTTTTTGAAAAATCCTAGGGGGATTCACATTTGACCATTTCACCCCAAAATCACTTGAGAAGTGCTCAGAAATCAGAATGGTGAAAAACTGCATGATTTTTAAAGAATGGTCAGCCGAGTGGAGGGTTTTGCCCACACATCCTGAACCCCACCCCTGACTACAGGTCTGAAATGGCTTTATACTAAATTCTAATGAGTATGTGTTCTTATGCAACCATCAAGAAGTGATGACATTGTCATAGCCACCACTAACACTTTTCTATGACTGTCTGCATTCAGAGCTTAATCGGTTTTTGTTGATGTTCAGTTCATCTGTTCATCTGTAACAAGTTGTTACACTTTAGTTATGATCTGCCAAATGGTGACATTTTGTCATGTTCATACCTAAAAGCAGGTATTATAGAAACTGCTAGACCAATCCGTTCTTGTTTAAAAAACATGTAAATATTTAGAAAAACTGAGAAGGTGCGCAAGTAATTGTCATAATAGCATTGCACTCTGTAGTAGAATGTGCAAAACAATACAAGAATTCAAACAGAAATTCATGACTAGTATATTCATTTCATTTATTGACATCTGCAATTTTGTGATTTCTATCAAAGGTATAATTCAAATATGGAAAGATTTGCATGGTATTGCACCTTATGCATAGTCAAGGTATTATTTTACAGAGCAGAAATACTTGACTGAAATCTGGCATGAACGTGTGATGAACTTGCGCAAAACTGACTCCTGCTACCAGCCCCCACCCCCTAGCTCCATCACAGAAGCGCAGAAGCGTTTACGCCACAAAGAACGAATGAATGCTACTATCCGTGAGATTGTAGGTTACGTGATGTTCCTGTGGATATTACTACTGATCGTGTACGGACAGAATGACCGCAAGTCCTACCTCATGAATAAGAATATCAAAGATACACTCTATAAACAGAAGTCATTCAAGTTGGTATGTATATTGTGTACATCATAAAATGATGGAGGCTCTGTATTTTACCAACAGTACAGAACAGTCATCTTTTTATTTTCACCACCAAAAAATGTTGATAATATAGTGTTTTAACTTCTGTTATAACTACATATTATGTTCAGCATTTGTAACAATTTGTTAGGCTTAATCAGGGATTTCACTAGAATTTCTCAAAGCAGGCTAAATAAATTAAGATAACAGGCAAAATTAATGGGAATCATAGATTTAAGGATGTTCCCTGGTCAGATAGGAAAATATTCAATAGTATTTAACTTTTTTTTATATTTCTTATACAACTTCCTTATGGCCATAGATTTAAATTTAGATTAAAAAAACATAGGGGTAGTGTGCATTTTTCTGAGTTACAGGCCTTCAAAGATATGGTACCCTTGAATCTGTTCGTCCCATTGAAAATACATTGAAATTGTCAAAAAATCACATTGTCCTTGAACATTTTCTTAAAATAATGACATAAGGAATATTTAACTTTTTATAAAATTGGGATATGTTGGCCACAATTTATTACTCTTTCTAATGAGGTAATAAAAATGCTAGGTTAGTGTGCAATTTTTTCCGCTATTCCATCAAATGTTACCCCCCCCCTAAGTTTTTTTTAAAAAATCGCAGTAAAAACAGGTATTTTGCTTCACAATTCCACAATTAATTGATTTTTGACTCTAAATTCAGAACTATTCATATGTTTAGGGCTAAAGTAAAAAACAAAAGTCGCTATAACATAATTATAAAGATGCTGTTCCATCAAAATTCATTACTCCCCGTATCATTTTCAAGTCATTTATCAAATTATTAGGCATGTTGAGCATAACCTTGAATTATGAAGATCTTTTCAGAATAAATTTCTGAAATATATCACTCATTAAGTTGAGCCTGAGTGTGTAAATAACTAGAAAAGTGAATTGAACAGGTTCTTCCATCAATTACCCCCCCCACCCACCCACACATATTAGTTGGAGGAAAAACAAATTTCTGACTCACTTCGAGGATGGCTTTTTCTTGTCTAATTCTTATAATAATTATACGATAAAAATATCCTTTTTACTGTAACCCCGACGTGCTGCCTCATAATAAAAACACGAATAAAAATAAAAGGTTCATCGACTAAGTGGTGTCCAACATGAGTTTTATTCTCACTTTAAAATGAATTGCTTTGAAAATTGACATGGAGACAGTAAACAGTAACTTTTTTACTTTGTGAAATTATCCCTGATAGTGATATAGAGCTTAAAAGTGAAGACTTATTCATAAAGTAATTTCACATAACAATATCATAGTGTAGTGTCATCTCGGTAAATTCTTTTATCACTCATTCAATACTGTAAATTGCTTTAATTTGGCAGCTGTTTTAATTTGGCGGATTGATTTTTTAGCTAGCTTCGAACTGTCCAATATTTGCTTTTTACTAATGTGTCAATCTGTCAAATTAAATAGCAGCCAAAATTTCAAAATTCACCCAATCCGCCAAATTAAATAATGCCAAATTTAAGCAATTTACAGTAATTTAGGAGAACCACCATTGTGCAATACACAATAATTTCTATTATGAATACTGGATTCTTGAATTGTTTTTTCCCTGAGAAAACATATTCAAAGGATCTAGAGGTCCTATAAATACAGCAGAGACTGCTGAATGGAACACCCCTCGTTTCCTAGAAAAAGTTTTCCACTTAGGTGTTTCACAAGTTCCACTTTAGGTTCCACTTACACAGGTGTCCTCAACATGCACTTCAATGGGAATGGGACTGATCTCCCCAGGATTTTTTGAACAGGGTGCTCATTCCAAATTTTTCCTGTTTTGGTCAAAATATCTCAATTTTTCATCATTTTAAGAGGTAAAGGATGGAAACAGATTTTGAAGAGGGTGGAATGCAATTTTCAAATTTTGGACAGGGCACAACCGCTCTGTTGCTCTAATGCTGGGGAGAACACTGCTGTATCAGAATTTACAATTTATTAACAATTGTCATTTTTCTTTTCTTTTTTGATTCCAGACTCTACTATCAGTATTATACATTTGTCTACAAGTAAAGACTAAGACTGAAGTTACTATAACATTAATCATTAGCAGGCTGTTCCCTTATTTCCAATAATTTATAAGATAATTTCCAGAGGCTAATTCTGAAAGATCATAATTAAGATTAGGTTGTGTAGATTATAATGTGTTAATAGGATACAATATTGGTAATACATTGAAAGAAATGCAGAAATGACCAAATTGGCCAAACACAAATGACCAAAATTTATGAACTTGTTGTTTGAACCATTAATTGATCAAATTCATGAAAGAGGGAGATTGGAGAGAAATTGTGATTACTCTCAAATCTGAAAGTTGCTGGTGTAAATATGTACAGTACAACACTCATTCCTACATTGACCATTAGTCTATATCTTTGAAATATAATTCATGATGATTCCTTGAAAAATTACCACAATGTTATTTTCTGCTTTTAATGTTGAACTTCAACCTGTAAAAAATATTTTCAATTTTTCTAGAACCTTCTTGTTTTTCGTTACAAGAACCCTATTATTTAATTTTTCTGCAAACAGTTCAACTATTCCTGCCCATCCATTTCTGTTATATACAATATTTAAGTGTTCCATTGTCAAACCGCTCCCGGCTATTCTATCTGCTATGCCATCAGATATGTATCCTCCAGTTACAAGGCGAGCAAATGAAGGTTTATTCATTGCCTTGACTTTCAAATACTCGTGGTTTTGTAATGTAAAGTGCATGGTAAAACTGGATTTTCTCTTCTCCTCTGTGGTGAAACCAATTCTATTTGAAAGTTCCTGTAGAGCGAGAACGTCACCTAATGCGCTATGAGCATCATATTCAAAGTTTGGAATGTAAGATTCCACGAGATCTACTTGCTTGTAACTTTTGAGTTTTGGATACTTCCTACGAATAAGGATCTTGGAATCTATGAATCCTTTAATTCCATTGAAATTAAGTTTCATTGTGTTGTGGAGAGCATTTATCAAAACGTGCACGTCAAATGTCTTTATGTTGTGTCCAATCAAAATGTTGTTTTCACTTTTTTCTAAAAATTCCTGGAAATTGTCCAGAGCTCTGCTTATGGGAACACAAGGAACTTTATTCCCATGGTGGAACATTTCACCCCCTTTCATACGGATCCCTGTAATAACACTAGCTTCTTCAGAAATATCCTCTTTTGGCTTCACATAAATATTGAATCTTTCATTTCCACGAACTGCGCCAATTTGTGTGATATGTGAAGTGCGATCTGAAAAATATAAAAAAATATTTATAATTGTTGAAAAAGTATTTTTTTTGCATAAAACTATTTGCTTAAAACTATTGATCCACAAGTATTTGAGTTATTCTCCAGGAACAGATTGATGGATGGATGGACAGACGGATGGAGGGGTCCTGACCCGGTCCTGTTGCAAGAAATTATTTTTTCACAATTAGGCTATTTAGCCTATGAAGGTTACTTCAGTATTTAAAATTCCGACCAATGTCATCAGTTCATTCAACAATTTTATTGTAATAACTTTCTGTGTTTCTATTATATTGTGAATGAGAACATTTAAAATACATACATAGGCTTGTCGTTTCCAAATCAAAGTATATCTCTGTACTCTCCCTCAACGGATGATCAACTGGTGAGTCAATTGGCCTAACTATGGGAGGGGGTATCACAGTGCTATTGATAGCTTCAACATCTGTGTCCTGGAGTTGAAGTTCCTTCTGATAAGTTGGCCCTTCCCGAACCTCAGCAGATTTTCTATTTTCATTCCTTGAAAAGAACAGAGACATTAATGGACAAAACATATTAAACATAGGGAAACAAAGAAAGAAGAGTGATCTGATACAATATCAACTAGACACACAGCAACTCCACAGAGTAGCAAATCCCACCGAAACTCCACTTTAAACTAAAATTGCGGCCATTTTGAAAAATTGCATTCAAGCAGAGATGCTATTGCCATAAAGTACCCCACAAAATTTGATGTAAATCCGTCAAATGGTTTTCGAGTAATGGCATTGACAAAAAATCGACAAAAATGACAGCCATTTTGAAAATAGCGGCCATTTCGAGCAGAGGTGCTATCACCATAAGGTATAATCCCACTAAAGTTGAAGTAAATCCGTCAAACAGTTCTTGAGTTATGGCCCGGACAAAAAATCGACAAAAATGGCGGCCATCTTGAAAATAGCAGCCATTTTGAAAAATCGCTTTCGAGCAGAGGTGCTATTGCCATAAGGTGTAATCCCAACATTTGAAGTAAATCCATCAAACAGTTCTCGATTTATGGCCCGGACAGACGAACAGACGGACGGACGGATGGACGGACGGACGGTCGGCTTTCCTATATCCCCCTCAAACTCCGTTCAGTCGGATAACTACATGTACACTATCAGCCTTCTAGTGAAGTACAATTTAGAAACCACATAGCTTCAGAATAATAAAACTGCCAAGCTTACAATGCATATTTCTATACAGTATATGAATACTGTACTGTTTCATATTAAATAGTAAAGTAATTTCTGGCATGATCTCACATTCACACATTCAAGAAATTACACCCATACTACAATAAAAAGTGCATATGTATTTCTTCAAATAAGATTTTAATTTATGAATATGAATGTAATTGTGGAAACCCATGGTTTAACCAGATACAATGTAGTGTTACTCAAAGACCTAACATGTCTATTGCTCTTAGAATATATGATTTTGTGTTTGTCACATACCTGTTGGCCTTTAGATGGATGCGTCTCAATTTTGCTCTTTTGGTCAATGATTTCGCTTTTCTTATTTTCTCCCGTCTTTCACGTAGTGTCGTCAATCTCAGAGTGAATTCTCCTGGAGAGATTCCAAGTCTTTCATTAACCTACAAAAAAGTATATTATAAAGAAATGTTCATGATGTTTTGGTCAAAAAGTAATATACGATTGCTACCTATTGTACATTTTTGATATTCCACACCCATGA